TGTAAATAAGAATTATATAGAGCAAGTCATAATTACTATTACATTATATTAATTACATTACTATTATAATACTAATATATTCTTTACATTTTAGGAAGAAGATGAAGAAAATGAGGAAGAAGGTGATGGTTGTGAAGGCGAATACGAAGAAGTAATGGTAAGCCGCAATCTTTTGGCAGCATTCATGGAAGAAGAAGCACCACAGAGTAGTAAAAGGCGTGCATGGGATGACGAGTTTGTGTTAAAGCGTCAATTTTCTGCTCTTATTCCTGCTTTCGATCCACGCCCTGGCCGGACAAACATTAATCAGGCAAGTAATGTAAATTAAACACAAAGTTAATCTTGTGAAAATGTTGTATTATTTTAAAATATTTTTATAATAGACAACGGATTTGGAAGTTCCTCCTCCTGGTAGCGAAGCCCAAATTAATAGTCGCATAGGCACATTGCCAATGCCTAGACTTTCTTTGTCATTAAAAGGACCAGGTTTTCCAGGTATACCGGATATTGAAATACCGCTTTCAGATCCGCACGCTAGCATTTTTCAAGCGGTCCAGGAACTAATGCAATTAACTGAATTGGGCAGTCGTCAAGAAAAATTGAAAAGGATATGGGAACCAACCTACACGTAATGTTCAAATTTTGTTAATTTATCATAAAAATCACATAGATACATATTATATAGAGAAAACTGAAGCTTGATTGTTTTTCTTCATATATAGTATAATATACAAGGAAACCAGAGACGAAGAATCATCAGGTAGAGCAACACCGATTGTAACATTATACTCTCGTAATCTTACGCAAAGTACAAACGCATGTACTATGGAGGATGTCCTGCAGCTTTTGAGACATGTATTTGTTTTGAGCACCAGTCGAGACGACGGTATTTCACTAGAACAGGAAGATTTGAATGACACGACCTACTGGCTTCACCCGGATGACTTTACCTCCAAGAAAATCACGAATAAGATCGTGCAACAAATTCAGGACCCGCTGGCTCTAGCCGCCGGTGCATTGCCCAATTGGTGCGAGGAACTTGCACGGAGTTGTCCGTTTTTGTTGCCTTTTGAAACTAGACGACTCTACTTTAGCTGCACTGCTTTCGGTGCTTCACGGTCTATTGTATGGTTACAAACACAACGAGATGCGATCCTTGAAAGACAAAGAGCTCCGGGTTTAAGCCCACGACGGGATGACAGCCACGAATTTCGTGTCGGCAGACTTAAGCATGAACGAGTCAGTGTACCTAGAGGAGAGAAGTTATTAGATTGGGCGGAACAAGTATTGAAGGTAAAAATTATACTTAAAAAAAGGAAGAAGCCATTTTTCATATATATTAATATATTTTTGTTTTATATTAATGTATGTTTTTTTTTCTTTTTTTGTCCTTTTCTCTAGATACATGCAAGTCGTAAAAGTATACTTGAAGTCGCATTTGTAGGAGAAGAAGGTACCGGTCTTGGACCTACTTTGGAATTTTTCGCATTAGTTGCAGCAGAATTGCAACGTAAAGATTTAGGTCTTTGGTTATGTGATGATGCCGCTGATGATAATGGCATGCAGATCTTAAGCGAGGAGCAAACATGTGTTCCTGGAGAGAAAATTCGGCCTGCGGGATATTACGTGACACGAGCCAGCGGTTTATTCCCGGCCCCATTGCCGCAAGATTCAGCAGCCTGCGATCGTGCTGTTCGATATTTCTGGTTCCTAGGAGTCTTTTTAGCAAAAGTTCTCCAGGATAATAGATTAGTAGATCTACCATTATCCCGTCCATTCTTAAAATTAATGTGCCGCGGTGATATTTCGAATAATGTCAATGAAAAAATCGGTCTTACTGGCATTACACAAGACAGTATGTCATCCAGCATGTCAAGTAGCTTTATATCAGAAGAGGGGGAAACGGATGTCGCGTATTCATCATTAGAGCCTTGTCCATGGTACGCTGGTTTACTAGACATAGAAGATCTTGCTGAGGTGGACCCTGTAAGAGGAGAATTTCTGAAAGAGATACAAACTGCAATTGCTAAACGTGATAGAACTTTTTCGGATGGTGTAAATTCCACTGATGAAGAAATGTCATTATACATTACTCATCCATCGGGTACTTCAGTGGCTATTGAGGATTTAACATTAACTATGACATATTCACTAAGTTCGAAAGTTTTTCAACACGATCATGTGGAATTAGTGAAAGGTGGCTCGGATATCGCAGTAACGATAGAAAATGCAAGAGAATACACTAATCTTACCATCAATTACTGCCTTAATCAGGGAATTTATAGGCAACTTGAAGCATTCAAATTGGGCTTTTCAAAAGTGTTTCCGATGGAAAAACTCCATGTTTTTAGTCCAGAGGAAATGCGGGCAATGCTTTGCGGAGAACAGAATCCGCAATGGACGAGAGAAGATTTGCTCAATTATACCGAGCCAAAACTAGGATACACAAAAGAAAGGTAAGACATAGATAATATTTATTTTTGATTAAATTTATTATGAAAATAGTCTGCGTGTTTTCAGTACACTATTACACTATTTTCAGAAATAAATAATGATTTAACGGATTTGTGCACGATAGATATTGCGCATACATACATATACACATGCACACATTATTCCATTTAAACAAATTTTATTTACTTTTTTTCAGTCCTGGCTTCCAAAGATTCGTCAACGTGCTATTATCATTGACTGGTTCAGAGAGGAAAGCATTCTTACAATTTGCTACCGGTTGTTCGGCTCTACCTCCAGGAGGTTTATGTAATTTACACCCCAGATTAACTGTCGTACGGAAAGTGGACGCTGGTTCTGGTGGTTATCCTTCTGTTAACACCTGTGTTCATTATTTAAAATTACCAGAATATCCTACCGAGGAAATTCTAAAAGAAAGACTTTTGGCTGCTACCCGAGAAAGAGGATTTCATTTGAATTAAATTTAATTTTTCTTACCCAAGATTCAAATTATTCATAGATAATGCGAAGAAATAAATATTATAATTTAGCGCGGATTGATACGTGTATGTAGAAACGAGAGAGAGAGAGAGAGCGAGAGAGCGAGAGAAAGAGAGAAAGTACGGCCTTCTAATAATAATTTTATTTTTTTTGTATGAACTATATAGTATATATAATAAGCAGATAACAACTTTTAGTAATCAGGGACGGAAACTTTATTTTTGAAGAAATACTTGTATACATATTCTCTAGAAATGATTATTCCTACTAATCTGATTTACAATAACATCCATTATTTGATGTGACTATTAACTTAATACATTGTGTAAATACTTCAAGCTGCTGTTATAATATTAATTACAATATCGGTTATTGTAACTAAATTAGGTGTAAACTTGCGATTTTTATACAACATTTTAAGTTAGTGCTTACAATTATGGATGTTGCTATAAAACAGATTATTTGAAAACATAGTCACAAACATTGGATATATATATTATAGCTCCTCGTTTCAGCTATTTGTTATCTTACATTTTTTTTTGTAAATTTAAATGTAAAGTAATTACTCATATACCAAAATTGTTTTTGTTTTTGAGAAAAATTTATTTATCCATAAATGTATTGCGCTATTTCAGTAAATATCCGTGATTACTAAATAGTCGTGATACATCCATGATATATCCATCATCCAATGCTTGATCCGATGCTCTCTTAAAATCATAATTTTCTGTATGTTGATCTTTATAATATTTCATATATGCGTATACATATATATACATATATATGTATGTATGTGTGTGTGTATATAACATATATAATAGATAAGACAAAATATGATATATACATATTTATAATGTAATCCTGCTGTGAATTATATTAGAATATCCTTTTTTATTTTATTATATATATCATTGAATTTACAATTTGCAAACTACGATTAATCGGATTTCTACAAACATTGGTTGTTGATATATATTACATTAATAATAATTTGACAGATGTATTATTTTCTTGTACAATGTAAGTAAAAAACAATTTGTTTAAATGTGTGCGTATATGTATGGATGTGTGCGTTGTATGTGTATGCGTGTTGTATAACAATTGAAATATTTAAAAGATATTTGAAAATATGTTTTAGTTATTTGATTGTATAAACTGTTAGAAAATTTGGCCACAATTTGAAAATTATCCATAAAATTTAACTTTTTCATAACACTCGTTTTTTGCAAGTGTGTTTCAAATATATTTACTGTTTTCATGCAAGAAAAACTCGAAAGTTCCTCATTTATAAATCAATATTCATTGAAATATTAATCTTGAAGATTAGAAATGTGTGTGTTATTGTTTATTGTATAAAAGATAATTTTACGAAAATTTCTATTTTCTTTATTAAGAGAATACTTATATGCATATTACACAAACAAATAACTTAATATAAATATTTACGCAATAATGTAAATCAAAATTGACATTTGCAAAATATTAATTTTTCATTAATGATATTGAAAAAGATGTTTTGTAGTACCTAGACCAATGTTCACAGCTTCTAAATATCTGCTTCTTAACTGAATATTTATGTAACGTCTTTAACTTTTAAAGAAACAAAAATATCTTTAAATGAAATGAAAAAAAGTTGCAATATTTTACTGAAAATGTTACCAAGATTGAATAAATAAAACATCTTTGTGTATAATATGCTACTTAATGCGTGTGCTCACGCGATAATTACAATAATAGAAAAAAAGCTCGAAATGTAATAATAGAAAATAAGATACATGAAAATAATATAAATGTATGTGAGAAAAATTGAATATAACGATATTGATATTAAAAATTACCATTACTGTAAAATAAATTATTCTCCTGGGAGAGGTGAATAAAAACAAAAAAAGTGCTATTAAATACATTTTCCAATATACTTTTATTATAAGTTTTATAAAGTCTATAGATTATATATACATATATGTATGTCAATGACCTGCATATGCAATCTATGATAATGAACATAGCATTTATATTTCACAATTGATAATCCATTAATCCACACATTTAAGACTTCCAGTTACCTTCTATTTAAATTGTTACATATAATATTTACATTGAATTACACACATTATACAGTGATCTAAAATGTATGCAAATACAAAAGTATTGCAGCAATATATTGACGTCCAATCTCTTGTTGCGCGATTCGCAAATAGAGAATTTAAAGTTCATTATCAAACTTTAAATTTCTATATCCCAGGAAATCTACTGTTTCAAACGTAAAATCATATTTAACATTTATATTTTCGCGACTTTATGTCGCAATATTTTTACAAATTTTGAGACATTTGTTTTATATATGTGTTTTATATTGTATGTGTGTGTGTGTGTGTATTTATCTGTGTAGCATTATTAATAACTTTTTTTTTATAATTTTGCTAACACAAATTCTTTTTTTATTTCATTATTTTGCACTGACGCTACTAGTCACTTTTTCAACACATTGTTTGCCTCAGCACGTTCTTCCTCTAATTCTTTAGATGTGATATCTAGCTTTGATTTTGCAAAGTCACTAATTGGAAGATTCTGAAAAAAATAAAATTTGTAAAATACAATCTTTTTGTTACTTTCTTCTATTTTTATAATTTTCTTAAAATTTTTATATTTACTTTTAATCATTGATGATTTAAATTAGTCACTATTATAGAAAAATCTTTGGAAAAGAACATTATTACTGCTTGTATGAAAATACAAATCTTAATAATACATAAAATTTTAAGATTTTTAAAAGTCTAAAGATAAAAAATATAAAGGGAAGGGTGTTACTTTATATATGTTACTATTTATTTCTTTTATGTATATTTAGGATTAAATATTTCATGAAATGACTTACTTGCACAATTTCATAGTGTTTGTCCTTAATAATGACAGGGAAGGAAAATACAACATCTTTTGGAATTCCATAACTTCCATCAGATACAACACCCATGCTGACCCATTCTCCAGGTTTAGTACCAAACCACCAGTCTCTCATATGATCTCCAGCAGCTTTAGCAGCAGACATGGCAGAGGACATTTTTCTAGCAGCTATTACTGCAGCTCCGCGTTTTTGAATCGTTGATACAAAGATATTATTCAACCATTCATCATCATTAATCTCAGATGGTACTGGTTTCACACCAGATGAAAGTGTTACAGTTGCATGTGCTGCATCAGGATATTGCGTAGAGCTATGATTACCCCAAATAATGACATTCTTGATTTTATCAACCTGTTGATTTAAAATTAAGTAATAATAATTATATAAATTTACACAATGTGCTGTAAAACAATATATATAGTAATAGATTAAATATATTTTTTACATTGATTATAAATAAAAATAAAAAATGTTAAATATAAGAAAAAAATACATAAGCATGTATAATCAAATTCTGTATATTTTAAAACCATTTCAGGAATTTTAATAGTGTAAAAAAAGAAATTAGTTAAGGAGTGAATAGTAAGTATAAGTGTGTGTGTGTGTGTGTGTGTGTGTATGTAGATGTATTATACCTGCACATTTAATTTTGCGGCTAATGTTGCCTGAGCTCTATTCTGATCCAATCTAGTCATTGCAGTAAAATTTTCTTTTGGAATAGATGGTGCATAATGCGAACAAATAATCGCATTAGTGTTAGCAGGATTACCTACAACTAACACCTTAACATCCTTACGAGCATATTTATCTAATGCTTCGCCTTGTACCTTGAAAATTTCTACATTTGCAGCCAAAAGATCTTTACGTTCCATTCCTTCTTTTCTGGGCATTGCGCCAACTAAGAAAGCAGCTGCCACATTATTAAAAGCCTTTGCTGGTTCAGCTGTTGGCAAAACCTCTACAAATTTAAATTAATATATTTTTGTGTATAATTATATAATGCTATTGGAATATAAATAGCACACATTTGGCAATAATACATATTCTAAACTTATACTCTCAACCATTCATTGAAATGTTGAAAATATTTTCATATCAATTTATCTCTCAAAAAAATGATAAAAATTTTTTGTAATTAAAAAAATTGTCGCATTTGCAATAATAAAAATTTTTCTTTTTTAAGATACATAGTTGTTTAAATATGTTAAATTACTATTATTAAATTACTTATACACATAATTTACAATTTGTATGCTTAATTTGATTCGTATAAATGAGTAATAAGCATTAAACAAGATTTATAACAATTTATAAAAGTTGAGTAATTATATAAATGTTTTATTGTTTACCTCGTAACAGAGGAAGTGCTAAATCCTCTAGTTCCATAACTACACCATCCAATACTTTCAACATAGGTGGAATATCTAATAATCGTAAATTAATAGGCTGTTGTGGGCCAAAAATTGTACCAGCTGCAATTTGATACAATAAAGAATAGGCAATCTGTCCAGCAGCACCAGTCACCACAACATCTATAGGTTCCGCCTAAAATAAAATTTGTAATAATAATGATTATATTATATACTAGAACTAATATACAGTTATATTACATATCATCATAATATATAATTTTGTAAAATATAATAATTATATTATGTATTAATATTATAGGTATAATATTAATACATAATATAATTATTATATTTTACAAAATTATATATTATAATATATATTAATAATTATCTCTATTCCAATACATATTTTTAGTATTATATCTTTAATATTACAAAGTATAGATTTTTGGTTGCAACTGTTTAAATTAAAATTTATTTGATGTGACATGGTATATCTTACAATCATTTATTTCTAAAAGATACTAATAAAAATATATATAACACTTATATTAATAAATTTTAATTTTCTATTTTAATATTCAAATATAAACATGTTTTTATAAAATGTATTATTTTAATTTATACATATACATATATATACATTAAAATAATACATTTTATAAAAACGTATATATATATATATATATATATATATATATATAAATAAATAAATTTTATTTATTCATTTATATATATATATATATATATATATATATATATATATATACATACATATATTTTACTATATCTGTATATATATAGTTCTTCTTAAAATCATATATGTTATAAAACAAAATGAGAAAAAGAATTTGAATTAAAAACATGTTAAATATATATGTGCAAATTATTGACAAGTGGAATTAATATGGAACATCATTTTCTAAATGAAGGTCATGCAAAGGTGAAACTCTAAAGATAAATTTTAATCAGATATGATAATATCTAATCTATACAGTTTTCATATCTAAATCAATATAATATATAATATTGAAGGGGCTTACCATTTTTTATAATATATCTATTAATAGCAATAAAGAAGAATTGTTCAGTATTTAATATATTACGAGTAAAAAGAGTAATTAGAAGGATCAATGGCGCAAGATCACGATAAACTGATCACCTCAATCGACTGGAGTCGAATGACTGGAAAACAGAGTTGCCAAGCCACTAATAGAGAGCTCTCCAGTAAGAAACACAAATAAACACACTATTTATAAACACTGTCACATGATTGGCCATCAGATAGAAAGATTTTCGGAACTTTAAAAATTCTCTATTCAGTGGCCAATCGTATAGCATTGTGTCTCACTGTTTTCTTGCTGGGGCGACGTCCGAACATTTTTCGATACTTTTTATATTATTATTAGAGAGATCTTAATATTTTTAATTTTGCATTGTATAAAATATAAAGTAATTATTTAATCTATGTATTTTATTTTTAATTAATGTTATAATTCTATTACAATTTATATTATAATTAAATGGGTGGCAGCCGATTGATCGCGTCGCCAATTGGCTAATTTAAAATAGAACTCTCTGATTGGTCAATCGTTACTGGTTATCCTAAGCACAGATCGATATAATTGGCCAATCACAACGTGGCTAAACGGGACGCTCCCTATCAATTGTGTGTGTAAATGTGCGCGCATAACTCTACTTTTATATAAAATATAATTATAACCTATAATTTTAATAATATTACTCAATATTGCCATGTGTTGTTTTTAAAGAAAGAAAAAAGAAGCATATTATAAATTTTTATACAAATAGAGATATTGAATTAATCCTGAACACAACTTTTTACCTTTTACATTTTTGATTACGTATGTATATTGTGCATTCATATTTATTTTCTTTCAGTTTTGTAATTTTCAAATGTAAGTGAAAAATCTCAATTATATGAAACAATATATACGGTGATTTTTAGATCATGCAGTTATCTCAATTGAAAAAGCGAAGAGAACGAACATTGCGTGTGCATCTTCCTCACGTAATAAAAGATAGAAAAGATATTGAATGTTTGTTTACGGGTAATTTTTATGTAAAATTACCACGACAATCCAGTAGATCATGTCATGTTGTATTCTCCAGCATGGAGGAAAAAATAATGAATTATAAATCTGCAAAGGGCAAAACAATTAATGGCAAGCGAATTGTTATTCAGCCATTACGTGCTCTTGAATTTAGAGAAAAAACCATGAAGATAAAAAAAAAGAAAGTTTTTATCCCTGAAATCAAACCAGATATTAAAGTGACACAAACGTAAGAATGTTATTTTCACTTAAATCATAACTTAATTTGTAGATAGAATTTGTAGACATTAATATTTTGTTATATATTTGCACAGAATATTTGTCTCGAATGTACCAATTGGTATAAAATCAGATGAAATAAAAGGTGCTCTTCCAGGATGTGTCCAAGTTACTTTATTAAAAGCTTATAATAAAGATTTTAGGTTGGTATAATTTATTTAACTAATTTTATTAAATTTTTAATACTAAAACTATATATATTGGAATTTTGTCTTAAATCACAATACATGTGTAATATTTGTATTTATAGGAGTGCAATGGCAAAAATGGAAAGTATCCAAATAGCAGCAGAATATTTAAAGGAAAAACATAAGTGGCCTGTTTTTGAAGGACACAAAACTTGCTTAAAATCAGATACAAGAAAGAAACATAAAAAAAGAAGTTTTACTAATACACTAAAAATTTATAATGAAGATACAATAGAGGAGTTGAATTTTGATAAGAAAGCTCAGACTAATAATGTAAAAGTAGCAGTTAAATATAATTAAAATATCTAATTTTGATAATTATTTAATCATTGTATATAAACATTTGTTTAATTTCATGTATAATATTTCCAATTTTTATGCAAATGCATGTGATTAGAATTTTTAATGCACAAAATGCATATTCAAGTATGAGTGCAACAAATTTGGATTCATATTAAAAATTATAAATTACATTTTTTTAAATATTTATAAATTGATATTAAATATTAATCCTAAAATTTTATATATATATAAACTCAATTTTCGTCTAGACATAGAATGTACATATTTAGAGCTGCCTTTATCTTGCGCTTTTGATTTAGTTTCCATTGAAGTCTTCAATTCGCGACATGTAATGAAAATGGAAAATTGATCAATTAGGAGGAAGACATTTTAGTTCCATTGTCCTGATTGGTCAAATTCCACCAATCGGTACGTCTAACAAACTCTTGACATATACATCCTAATTCGAGATATCGACACATGGTACAGATCGATATTGTCGCGAGGGAAACAAAACGAACTATTTCTATCTTTCTTTTCGATGCAAGGCGTATTCTGAAACTATCAAGTATGTTGAGTTTGCAGTAATATCCATCTTAATCCTACTTCTCTGTGAGAATTATAAAAAAATAGAAAATTCGTCGAAATCTAGAATCTTTCCAATATCAAGTATGTTGTTTATGTTTTAATAACTTTATATATTATTACGTAGCTTATTTATGAATGTGACATGTGTGTATTCATTTTTTACTTCTGTATAAATATACAAGTTGTAATTTCTCTATTTTTTATAATTCATATGATTATATAGTTCTTCAAAATGTTATTTCGATACATTATAATATTTATTATATTTTATACAATATATGTATCTTTAATTGCGGTACATACATAACCTTATTTAAGTATTCGAATTAGCATTCTTTTTTCAATAGAAGGGAAAGTATAATGCTATATTATACCAATAAAGAAGAAACAGGAAAGATTATATTTGACTTATCTATTTTTTTCTATTTGTGTTAATAGTATATTTTTAATATTAATTACTTATTGACATAGATTTTATTTCTATTTTATTGTTCCATAGGATGTTGATGCCAAAAAAGAATCGTGTGGCTATCTATGAATACCTTTTCAAAGAGGGAGTTATGGTGGCAAAAAAGGATTATCATGCGTCAAAGCATCCAGAATTAGAAAATATTCCCAATCTTCAAGTCATTAAGGCTATGCAGGTAATAGTCTTCAATACTTCTTTTGTATTGCATAAAATAATATCTTATGAGCTAAGAATATTTTTCAATTTATGTATCTTTTAGTCTTTAAAATCTAGAGGATATGTGAAGGAGCAATTTGCCTGGAGGCATTTCTACTGGTATCTTACAAATGATGGTATTGAATACTTGCGCGGATACTTGCACCTACCGCCTGAAATTGTGCCGTCGACTCTCAAGAAGCAACCGAGATCTGAAACCACGAGGCCAAGACCTGCCGCGACTAGGAGCGAGGGATCGAGACCAACGGAAGATCGCGCAGGATATAGACGAGGTCCGGGTGGTCCTCCAGGCGCTGGTGACAAGAAGGCTGATGTAGGTGCAGGTACCGGTGATCTTGAATTCCGTGGTGGTTTTGGCCGTGGAAAAGCTCTTCAGTAACTTTTTCATTATTGAATTAAAATAAATATTCTAAAATGTATCATATGTTTTTTTATTGTGTCCTTTAATTTGGATACTGCTTTTATCATTTTCATATATATGTACTATAGAGCAAAAAAAGAATCGATTTAAGTTTTTCTTTATATAGTAACAATTTTGTTACTATATATCGATATATAGTAAACTACAAAATAATTATAGAGTTTTCTTGGAACAGAGGTAAAGAAAAAATAATTTCTTTTAAAATTTTTATATATTTCTTTGTATATTGTATATGGAAGTAAAGATTACAGAGTAGTATTTTAGCAAAGTTACCATATTTGAAAATTAGATTTGTGTGTGTAATTTTATGTATATATGTATGTATATACATATATATAAGATTAATAAGTAAATTTATTGTATTTATATGTAAGTAAATTAAGATTTTCAATCACAAAATCACAAATTTTTTCTTATATTTGTGCTTATGCAGCAGAAAACAATTTTTATATAATCAAAATTCTTGTCACGCATACACAATTAGAACTTATATTAAGAGTTGAATAAATATTCTTAAAATAGTTTTTGCAATTCTCTGTGAAAGATAAAGTTCTTTGTTTTATATCAATGTAAATTTACAGGATAGACATAGGAAGATAATCTTCACATATAAACATATAAAGATAGATATAAAAGATTTACTGATTTTTAATTCAATTTTCACCTGTATTTGTTAGATATTACTATACCGGTATTTTTTTTCTGTTACCACGATTATCAATATTTACATTGGTAACATTAATATACTGAATTATTTATCATATTTATATGAATTAGATATACTATTCATAGATAGCAAATAAGTTAGAATAATAAATTATAGCACAGAATTCATCTTACTTAAAATTCTCTTTGAAATATTTAAATAATCTGGCAAACCTTTTGTTGCTAAAAAATAATATTTTATATTCCTGAAATATTTGTTTGGAGACATTCAAATTCAAATCTCCCATTTTTAATCTATTGTAAAATCAAATTTAACAAATTATTTAAGAAACTAGTGTTTCTAATTACATAGCTGTCACTTGACAAAGTTATTTCTATTATGTTCCAACATTGATTAATATTATAAATTACACAATAAATATCTTCTTTTTATATTTTGGGTATATAAATAATTTGTCTACAAAATTCCTTTAAGATTAATTAAAAGATATTTTATAAATCTTAATGATTTTTGTACTATATATCTATGTTGCTTTAATATAAGCATATCATTTTAACTGAAATATTTAACAGGTTATACATATTTTTTATGCAATGTAACGTTAATTACACATTTTATATATTACTTAAAGCAAAACTTTAACAAAATAAATTGTAATTTTATATAATTATTGATATACCTTTTAAAATATATATAAGAAAAAATCTAGAATTCTACTCCCATTAAAAAAAAATAATCTAATATAACATCGTTATTGTTATACCAAAAGATACGGATAAGAATTTGAAAAAAAAAAATATATATTATTTATTGCTAATTAATATCCTTTTTCACTATTAAAGATTATATTATCAATAAAATTTGTATTCTTTTAATATATTGACAAGCAAATAGTATCACATTAGAATCATGAAATTTATCTTACTTTGTTATTATGTGACAGTTCTAGAGAATGTGTGTACAAACTTCAAACTATCTAACCCTTCTTTTTAAAATCACATAATTCAAAGTATATATATATATACATATTCAATATTCTCAAATATCATTATAATAATGACATTATATTATTATATATAGACAGAAATTTTGATAATCTCTCGTAAAGCTAGAAAACTTAAAAGTTATTTACCTATCATCACACTGCGGATAAAACACGCACTAATGGATTAAAGAATTGCTTTGCGATATTCTGCTACAGAGGAAGAAATTAGAAAGAAGGAATTGATAAAAGGGAATAGGGCAATAATTCTCTATAATAAATAAAATGCGATCTTAGCCATTGTCGCATCTTACTGTGTCGCAATTTGTGCTCCATAACAGGCAATTGCCTATACCGCTGTAACAAATGAGGAAGACAGCAGCGAGGAATACGAGGCTGCAAATAGTGCAAGGCTTACGCTCCAGGAAGAATCCGATCAGGTAGAGCGCCATAAACATGACATGGGTTTGCAGCAACGCCGGATTGACAGGTTTCGGTATCAGCAGCACCGGAATAAGCCACTGTAGGCAGTACATCTTCTCTTGAGCGTGTAAGGATGGCCGAAACTGCACTCACGACGTCTTTCACGTCAGACGAATATCTCATCAATGACAGAACCTTCGGAAAATGATAACATTAGCGATAACTAATAACCTAGATAATTAACATAAGTGATTATTAACCTCATTTGGAAGCATCACCGCTCACATACGAATCAGTTTGTCGTCATTGATTATTACTTCTTAAATTTGAACATGTATTTTTTTTTCTCGTCGACCATATGACTGTCCGTCGTACTACACTACAATGTACAAAGAGAGGTAAGAGGAAAGGGAAGAACACCAATCAACACTAAATTGCGATATACCAATAATTTCGCATAATTTTCAGCCAGAGAGAAGACTGACAATGAGAGGTGTCATGGCTCGTTTTTAGATGATTCCTGAAAGCGATACGCCCTCTGTGGACCTTAAAAACGTGCACAGCTCTACTCACATCTACATTAGCTCTACAGTATGTCCGGTTCCAATTTGGCATTTAACTCAAAAGCAGCAAAAGAGTGTCGTCGAATCGACAACGACACTGAATTATAGTCATACTATAGTTCAGTGGTAACGACCATAAATTTTTATATTTTTTATATTTTTATATTTTTATTTTTATATTCTTTTATTCCGATACCGGAGGCTCATCGAGTCCGCTTGATTGTGATCATAGATTGTGATGAAAATTTATCCACGATCCGGCTATCGATTGGCTAATAGCATCTCGTCGATGAACAAACTCATCGTTAGTACTAATGCAATTATAAATCTTAAACCTGTATTAGAATACACATTGAAAATTGAAGATAAAAAAATGGGAATTTGACCAATAAGAATTAAGGGACCTCAAATTTCTGTGTCCTGATTGGTCAAATTTCAATCTTCAATCTCAATCTTCCACGCATAATCTGATACGGGCTTCATATTGGCTCCTTTCAGCGGATTCAACATTTGGGCAACATTACTAGATTTTCCGATGTAATTCGATGCTGATTGGTCGGATCTGAAAGTAGAAACCAATTATATTCAATTTAGCAGTTGAGTCCGCTGAAAAGCACGAAGGACCTGATCTGAGTGTAGAAAGTGCTGATAAAAGGAACAAACCTACTCTAGTCGATTAGTCGGCAGGATTCATTTCAAAAGAGAGAAAGAGAGAGAGAGAAATGTGTTTTGGATAGTCTAAATATTCCAAATTTTTTGTCTGTGAAATGAGATATGCATGTTGAACGAATCGCTTAATGTTGGAGAAGAATTTTGTATTTTCTAAAAAAAATCAATCGTCATAATTTTTAATAAATTTGCGTCTTATTGTTTCCAATAAATGTGTTTTTTTTTTCGAATTACTTTTTCAACAACGTTAACTCGTATTTGCTGACAAGTAAGACGTCGGCGCATATATTTCATTGAATAGAATCAAGATTTTACGACGGATATCCATAACATCGTGCAATCGTATGTTTAAATTAATTTCGGTGATGCTCAAATTTCAATTTACACGTGTATTATATTGCTAAATTTCTTTTTCTTATACTTTTAGGTTACACTATAGCCTTACAAATGGCGGATAAGGCTATGATGAAGGTAATATATATAACTTTGTTAGATTTGTACTTATATCAAGATGCTTATAATTGCATATTATTTAATTTCTAATTTGCATTTATAGCAAATTGCGGAACAAAAACTTAAGGCTTTCTCCATCGGTACTATGGGTAAACGGCCATTGAGTAAAAAAGAGCTGGAAGAACAACGTAAGAAGGAACAAGAACAAGCTGCGGCTCAGGTAAATAAGACCGCATATTGTTACTGATTTTCTCCATATGAATTAAATTTACTTTACGGCTCTATCTTGTGATATATAATTATGCATTATGTATAGGCATTTGAAGAATTTGTGGCAACGTTTCAAGAAACACCAAGTAAAACAGCTAGCAAGGTATGGGTTAAAGCAGGGACGTACGATGCAGGCAAAAGACGTAAGTATAGAATTTATGTGTGCATTTATAAGCAATTATTTTTTAAATTATTGGAAAAGTAAATTGTTAAAAAAATATACACTTTATTTCATGTTATATTATATCTTTTTAAGAGGAAGACACGAGGGAGAAGGGGAAACTTTATAAACCACAATCAAAAATCTCAGAAATAGTTGATACCAGATCATCAGCGGAACAAGCTCAAGAATATGCAAGATTGCTTGGAACGAATGAACGAAAACTAGATAGATTGGGTAAAAAGAAAAAGGAAGGAGAAAAAAAGAAAAGCAATCTTGAATTATTTAAAGAAGAGCTGAAGATGATACAAGAGGAACGTGAAGAGAGACACAAATATAAGGGTGTAGTGAAGACTGTAATATCTGCGCAATCTGAAGATCCAATGTTGGCTGCTTTAAAATGTGTGGAAGGTATTACATATATATTATATATAAATGTTACATAAAATACTTTTGATTTTAACTTGATATAATAATATGAATCGTTCCAATTTTACTTCAATAGTCGTCTTTGCAATGAAATATATAATGATATATTTTTAAAACAATATTATTTAAATCTGTAGTATACTTATAACTTTAGTAGGTAATAAATCCTCATTTCCGGATCCGCGAAAGGCTAATCTGCATAACTTCATTGATGATCCCCGTCTCTTAGCCCTGATATATGAGGGTATTATCCTTCCTTATCTTTTTCCTTGCCACCTTTCTCAACCTCATAATTACAAGAAATGTTGAAGAATTTTTATTTTACAGATGGCTCATTTGATAATGGTGATCCAAATACCACAAACTTGTACCTGGGAAATTTAAATCCAAAGGTAAAATATTATATTACTATTAATTAAGTGTTAGTATATATTGATATTTTATACAATAACTTGTCTATTTCCAAATAGATCACAGAACAGCAACTGATGGAAATATTTGGTAAATATGGTCCACTGGCTAGTATAAAAATAATGTGGCCACGCAGTGACGAAGAGAAAGCCAGACAAAGGAATTGTGGTTTTGTCGCGTTTATGAGTCGTAAGGACGGAGAACGTGCATTAAAAAATCTTAATGGTGAGAATATGACAAGAATATATTTTACAAATGTACATATTGTTTCCTCTCTGGAATCATCTTTTTATTTATTATATATTAATGTATTAGAGTCTCTCAAATTTAATATATATTATACACACACACACACACACACCCATATACATATATACATATAATCAAATTACATCATGATTTAGGTCGCGATATAATGCAGTACGAGATGAAATTGGGCTGGGGGAAAAGTGTACCAATTCCACCTTATCCCATTTATATTCCACCTGCTTTGATGGAGATCACGCAGCCACCACCCCCATCTGGTCTTCCATTTAATGCTCAACCACATCGTCGTGACAGGCACAAGGTATATCAAATAAATCACTTGAGAAGTGTAATTAATAAATTACTTAATTATATACATTTCAATTGATTTTCTTTTTATTGAATATTTTATCCTTTGAAAATAATCATATTCCGAAAATATTTATTAATCAATTGTATTTTTTCCTTTTTTTTATCATATATTAATTATATATATATATATATATATATATATATATATATATATATATATTAATAGTTATAGGATTTGAAAAAAATATACTTTATCCTAAAAATATCTAAGTAAATAGTTTTACATGAAAATTCGGTCAACAGGCATTCTATTAATTAGTATATTAATTCTTTGCAGTCCTATGTCATATAATTTGTCATATTTTATTCCAGCTAAACCAGTATCAAGTTTAGTTTAACATAGAAATTTATAATTATTTACGAACATTCTAGCAATCTCAAAAATAATTTGTGTAGTGCTATGGCTGCATATATCTTTGTAGAGTCTTTTTTTCCCCTTTTTATATATGTATTATGTAAGAAACATTACATAATATCTTATTGAAACATGAAAAAATATATAAACTATAAGATATAGGTGGAAGTAGCTGAATTGCAATAGACTTGCTGGAACAAAATATCAGAAATGATTTGAAACGCAAAGGATTAACATTTAATATATTTATTTCTTTTATTTAATCATATTTATTAGTAGTTTTATATAACAATTTAATAAAACGCGAAATAAAATTATCGCTTAGTAAACATTAACGATGTACTCGTTCTCTTTTTTCCCCATGTAGTCAATAAAATGATACTTCAAGATGATCACAATGCTAAATTGTGATAAAAATTTGTTTGTTCATTTTATTGAAATTAAATAACCATTTTTGAAACATAATCTCAGATTCCACGTATCCGCAATATACAGACCGCGGAGCCGCAGGAAAAGGAAAATTTTGAAAAGGTAAAATTATTTTTATGCTCCTTTAAAAAAAAGTTTGAAATAGTATTTATTCTTCTATTAATCTGTTTTAATTTATTCAGGACTGTTATGATAGATTTATTAATTGTAATAGATATCTATTTATAAAAATATTTAGGAAGAAAGTTTTTTAAGTGAGAAGATAACTTTTCTAGAACTTTTCTAGAATCTAAAAAAGACTAACAGTTTGCTTATGAAAGTAACAAATATAATGACAAATATATACTTATATTTTTATAATTTATAGTTTTGAAAAAATAAAATGTACATACACATATGTGCGCGCTCGCGCGCGTGTGTATGTATATTTTATATATGTAAATTCCTTATTGACCATATTAAATGTACAATTCTAATTATATTTACAAATTATGTTGTGTTAATTTGTTGGCGATTATTCATGGGATACACATTTTGGTGTTTGGAATATCTTATTCTATCACTATTGCACTGGCGATCTGGTCTGATTGGAATTGATAATCAGATTTTGCAGAATGCTGTTGTCAAAGTGGTGATACCAACAGAAAGGTATTTGATTAAAATAATATAATAGATCTGTAAGCGCTTTTGTTAATTGTGATATTTTGTGTGATGTTTTGTAATCAATAGTAATTGATATAAATGCATACTTTATCAAATCGTATATTACAGAAATTTAGTGATGTTAATACATAGAATGGTTGAATTTGTAATTCGAGAAGGACCAATGTTTGAAGCAATGATTATGAACAGAGAATTAACTAATCCAATGTTCAGGTATATATCATATGATATATGATATATTCTGTTACATAATTGAATATACATGATAGTAACTTTAATTTTAGATTCTTATTTGAGAATTATTCTCCTGCACACACTTATTATCGCTGGAAATTATATTCTATCTTACAAGGGGATGGACAGAAAGAATGGCACACAGAAGATTTTAGAATGTTCAAAGGTGGAAGTGTATGGAGACCACCACCAATCAATCCTTGGACACAAGGCATGCCGGATGAATTAATAGAAATGGAAGAGAGACAAGAACCAAGGAGGGGTAGTCTTTCAATCAGGTATTCAAATATTAAAAAATTAGCAAAAATATTTATAAAATAATATTTTAAAATAAAGCAATTTGAAAATTCTCTATGAAAAATAATTGTGATTGAAAATATATACATAAATTTTCTGAAATACTTTCTATTTATTTATAGTCAGCGAGATCGTTTAGAAGATTTGTTGAGAAATATATCACCTGAACGAATAAAAGTAGCAGAAGCAATGGTATTTTGTATAGAACATGCAGAAGCAGCAGAGGAGATTTGTGATTGTATTTCAGAATCATTATCAATATTACAAACTCCTGTAAATAAAAAAATTGCAAGATTATACTTGATATCTGATATATTACATAATTGTGGAGTCAAAGTGACTAATGCCACTATTTATAGAAAAGCGTATGTAATCTTTCTTAAGAAAAAAGAAAGAAAGAAAAGATACTACATGTATATAATCTTAATACATGTATATAATAAATCATTAATTTTACAGATTTGAGACACGTCTTCTAGATATTTTTAGCGAAGTTCATCAAGCATACAAGCAGTTTGATAGTAAATTAAAGGCAGAAGGATTCAAAGTCCGTGTTATGCGAATGTTTAGAGCATGGGAAGATTGGACAGTTTACCCAAGAGATTTTCTTGTTAAATTACAAAATACATTCCTGGGACTTGTTTTGGTAATTTTTTAAATTTACAACAATAATATATCTGTCAGTAAATAGACTTTATAACACTTTTAATTTCTTTCTCTAAGATGGATGAACCTGAGCCTGAAAATGATGAAGATATTGATGGTGCACCATTATCTGATGTTGATGGTGACGGTACTGAAGATTTAGATGGTGTACCACTTGACGGTGCAACCCTGTTGAAAGGTGCCATGAAACATGGCCTCACATCTCAAGCAACTTCAAATTACGATGATATTGATGGAGTGCCTAGTATATATGCGTTCCTGAAATAAATACATAAAAAGATGTAGTTTCATACTAGTAAATTGTATTATATGTATATATATATCTGTCATAGTGGATGAAGATATTGACGGAGTACCAATGGATGATGACAACAATGTAAACACGCGAAATAAGGAAGACGAAAAGAAATCGACAATACCAGCTGGATTTGTTCCTTCACGATGGGAAACTGTTGATCCCGATCAGGTTTTAAAATATTTTTATCTATATGTTTATCGATGAAATAACGTTAATATTTTCTTGTATTATATTTATATAATTTTTTAAATAATCAGGTCGAGGCACAAGCAATGACTACCAGTAAATGGGAAGAATTAGGTCAAAATGAAGATTCTAATTCTCAAGATACTAGTATGGATTCTAGGTAGAATTTGTTGCAATAATTGTCGATGATATTGATAATTTTGCGCACAAAATGTTTAATAATTTATATATATTAGAACATATTTATAATAAAAATTACTTTAACAGTGGTAGGGATTATAATGAAGAAAGGCGAAATAGATTACGTGAAATTGAAGTAAAAATTATGCAATATCAGGATGAATTAGAAAGTGGTAGAAGAACATTAAAGTCTGGTATGACGATACAAGCACAAGTAGAGCATTATAGAAAAAAACTTATAAGAAAGGTATAATTTTTACACATATTAATTTCAATATGTAACAACAATATCGTATACACATACACGTTAAAATTACTATAGAGCGAGAGAGAAATGAAGGACATAAAAAGCGAAGAACGTGATGATGAGAAACGAAGGGAGAAGAAAAGAAGCCGAAGTACCACACCAGAATCTCCTAGTCACAGCTATCGTAGACGATCCTCGGCAAGTCCATCGTCCAAAAGTGTAAGATATAGGTAAATGTTCTGCCGGATTTTTTTATATATGCATTCCACATACTTTTACATTTTCGTTATATAATACATGAAGTTTCTATTATCTGATATTTTTCAATCCAGAGGTCTTATATGATCTAATTTTTAATTGATTTTTATATATCTATATGTAATCAATTGATATTATTTATGAAATAATAGTTCAAAAATGCATTTTAAGTATAAATATACTTCTTATACATTATCTTGTTATACATTTTTAGATCACGCAGTAGATCGCCACGTTGCAAACGTAGATCAAGATCTCCATATAAAAAACGTGTACCGGTAACCCCGTCCCCTCCTCGTATTCGACGTACACCATCGCCTTCCTTTTCTTCAGGCAGAGGATCACGCAGATCGCCCACTAATGAACGTTGTGATAGGAAAAGATCACGTAGATCACCCTCTTTATCGCCTCCACCGCCTCCACGTACTTCCTCTAAACATAGAGCTTGTAGTCCGCCTTCCCCGCGTAAGCGACACAAGCATAAATATTAAATTACATATATACACATTGTTGTAGAATAATTACACAGCAGTTTTTCACAAAATAATTCTTCAAGATACTTTTTTATTTTCTTTTAGATCAGATAACATTTATTATCTTACGATTACATCCATAGATTAATATAAAAAGAGATTAGTTTTTTTGGCGATTGTTCTCTTCTTATATATACATATATCTGATTCATCCACATCCGTCTAAAAAATATAAAATAAATTTCTCACTGCTTAATTATTATCGAAATAAAACTTTTACTTTTTACATTATAAAATAATTGTATTATAATTTGCATAGAAAGGACACGATATAATTGAGACAACGTGTGCAGTTTTCAAAGTGCACAAAAACATAAAACATATTTTAACAATTATTAAAAGTCATGTGCATTAGATTATTTATAATATTTTTTAAATACATTGTGAAGAGAGAATAAAGAAAGATGTATATATTAATTACATAAAGAATATCGAAATAAAATCATCGTCTTTAAGTTTATACCAAGAAATTTGTTAAATGTTCTGAAAGTATTTCAGAATAAAATAATTTTACCTAATAATATGTATCAAAGATATTGTTTTCTTGCATTGTGAACATTTTGAATAAATAATTTTATGTAAAGATATATATAATCATTTATACATCACTTTATCTTTGTTTTTAAGCTTTTTATAATGTTTAATTATTATATAATTTGATTTTATTGATTATCATAATTTTTATAATTAAATCTTAATTTTTAACAATTACTATCGATATATCTTGTAGGAGAGTTTATTTTTTTTTCTTAAATTAATTTAACTTTATTATGTATGCTGCATCAGTTATTTTTGTAAACATCTAATCTTTAATTGTATGTGTGCATGTGTATATTTATATTTATATATAATCCACTGAGAAAAATATAGATCGAAAAAACGTCTATTAAATATCTATTAGGATTACAATCTTTTCGACCTATTATTTCTCACTGGGAAGTTAAACCATGTAAGAAAGTAAACTCTTTATAAACTATACGTATAGTTTATAAAGATTTTTAATTTCTTATATGGTTTAACTTATTTGATAATTGGATTAAATATATAAAAGAATTAATTTCTAATTACAATGAAAACCCTCTATGTTCATTTTAACTATGTGTTTTACATCTGCCAAATTTTAATTTATTTATAACTGATAAATATTGCGAAATAGTGACATTGTGCTTAATCCAATCGGAACAATAAGATATTTTATAAAATCATAATACATATAAATCTCTATAAGAAGACAAAAGTATCAGTCGAACTGATCAAAATAGGCGGTGAAATACTGCCAGTATCTTCATGATCTGAATATAATAAATTAAAAAATGCTTTATATTATTAACAATATATATATATATATATATATATATATATATATATATATTGTTATTAATATAAAGCATTTTTAATTTATTATTTATTATATGGACGTAACATCCTTTTGAGCTGTCCGTCACAGGACGAAAAGCCGGAGTTGCCAGATACTGCTTGCGTCTACAATCTGGCAGCTTTGGCTCTGCTCCTCACTTCTCAGTGTTCGGCGAGCGTGCAACCGGAGAGGATGTAGAGGACCGCGTTTTCCTATATTGGAATTTCCAGAATCTTTTGGTAAGATGACAATTTTATTGTGAGGCTATGCGTGTGTGATCTTACGTCGTGCTCGGATGGATTAGAGTGATTAGAGCGTTTAAGAATCGTCGCCCTAATTAGTGTTACGTTTTCGATTTTATTCGCATAGTGCGTTTAATAGATTCTTTAATGTTTCGGACGATTAATCCATCCGTGTGCTTAAAATATTACGCAGCAATTTCTCCAGAACCGTCGCAATTGTGTAGATTTATTGTCTCGCGTATTCGTGAAAAATTATATACTTGTACTTTTCTCGTGTTCTTTTGTGTCCTTATAATAATTCACGTTTAGTGCTATTGATCTCGCGTTTCTACACATAATCGTACACAACTCGACGAAATTCCGTAAGTTTTTCTTGGTATCTCTTAGCCTGCTCCCCGAACATCGCGCGGGCTTGCAAATTACAGAATGTTGTCGCGTGAATCGAGAGCAAAATATTAACATTAATACATACGTCTACGAAGATTGAATATTTCTATTAGCATTTTTTGATACATTTACTGATAAAAAATATGTAAAATAAGTACTAAAAGAGATACTAAATATAATAATATATACTCACAAATTCTAAAAGTGCAATATTATCAATCACAGATATAATATGTATGTATATATATATATATGTCATTAATAGAACTATCATCGCGGTATTTAATATTAATAATTCAATCGGAATTTGTGGCTGCCGAGGCCCTATGACGTCTCGTTTAGCGCAAAATTTCAGGACTTTCTTTACGCTGCTTTTTCTATCGCGTGACACGTGATCGCGCTCGAATACCGGCCTGTTGCCGGTGAAAATTGCCATAATCGATTGTAAAACATCATGCAATATCTACGTGAATCTGTCTCGTGTTGAACATTATCTATTTGTTAAATATATTTATTCTTGTAATAAAAATTAATAAAATTCATTCTTCTAAAAATATTCATTCTTGTAATAAAAATAATAAAAATTTAAAATTTTTTCCGTTGAAAATTCGTTGTCGCAAGTAACAAGGAAACTCGGAACTCGAGAATAACAAGGTCACCGTTAATGTATATATTGATTTTTGAATGTTTCTGATATCTCTTATATATTGAACATGTATTGCTTTTGTATTTGAGGGTCAAGCAAATAAGATTTTGAAAATAACTGTCGATTGTGTCGAGATTTGTAAAAGCAAAAGTAATTTAAGCTATTATTTATTCTTTTCGCTAGAAACTTTTAGCCATCATTAATTTAATTTTAAAGATTTATTTCGTTAAAATAATTTTCTTTTTTTTTTTTGCTACCTTATGAAGAGGCTATCATAATAATTAATAGAGGAATCATTAAAATTCACAAAATAGAAATCTTTACTTTTCTTTTAGGAATAATATCGAATATTTTTAAGATTTATCTCATGTAATTTAATTTTCACAGAATTTTTGATATATTGGCAACTTTTGATATATTGGCGCACTTGCTGCTGCCTAATTTTGCTATGCATTTTTATTGATGTGTTATTATATATTATTTAATTATGCATTATATACATATATCTGATTCATCTATATCTGTTTAAAAAATATAAAATGAGTTTTTCACTGTTTAATTATTATTATCGAAATAAAACTTTTATTTTTTACATTACAAAATATAATTTGCATAGAGAGACACATTATAGTTGAGACAACATGTGTGCAGTTTTCAAACTGCACAAAAACATAAAATTAAAATAACAAATTAGATAAAGGCCAATACAGAACTAACTCGCTGATATAAGTGCGAAAAAACAAAAATAATAATATTGTTAAGACATGTAATCCATAAATGATACAGTAAATAAATCGATCGCAACGTTTCGGTCAAGCATATTACCCTTTTCAAGCAACAGAAAAAATTTAAATTTAAAAATGTTCAATATCTGCTAACTGAAAGAAAGGATAACGCATATATATAACAAACGCAAAATCGCAAAAATAAAATAATATGTGGGAGAAATCAAGGAGTCAATGTTTAAAACAAAAAAAAGGTTTTAACAAAAAAATGTTTTAACAAAAAAATAAAAATAAAAGTTAGATTCGTAAGTGTAGCTGACATGTGAATGCTGTTAGAAACGGAGTCCCGATCAAATGAACAGTTATTCTTCAAAATTGATAATAGACAATTCATAATATTTTCATTAAAAATTTGGCTGTGACAACCTGTAACAGTCCAAACCAAGACCAAACAATCAACACAATTCGAGAATAAAATTAAAAGAAAAATTCCCATAAATTATAAAAACCAACGTATTTAATATAAAATGAATAAAAATAAAAATAAAAATGTTTAAATAAAAATAAAAATAATAATAATAAAAATATATGAAAGAATAAAAGACAGAGACTCACAGTCAAACGGAGGAGAATATCTAGAATAATTAAAAAAAATGCACAGTTAACATCGCAAGAATAAGACAACGACAATGCGAGAACTCACATAAAGCAGGAAAGCATGGGAATATAAAGAGAAAGCCCCCCACCAAAAGGAAAGAAAGAAAGAAGAAGGTCCCTCTATGCGAAAAGAAAAAAAGTTTATTTAAGGAAGAAGGGGAAAAGGAACGGGAAGGGAAAACAACAAAAAGGCGCGAGGTTTAAGAAATTTTATTAATAATAGGGAAATATAAGGAATTAAGTAAAGAGGTATCTTCCTGAGCATTCAGACCGCAACTCTGCTGCTTAATATGGATCATTTCTGAAATGCTTCTCCTCAAATAATGAGACTCCTCATTCAAAATCGAGACGTCATCCCAACCAAACTCATGCCTCGAAATTCTATGCGTCGAAATTATCGAAAGATTGTTCGTGGGGGAATTAATATTTCTTTTGTGTTCCTTCAATCTCGTACAAAGTTGCCTACTGGTTTGACCCACGTATGAAGCATCGCAGTCCGTACAACAAATCTTATAAACAACATTGCAATGGTTCAAACTGGGAAGAGGATCTTTATGTATCTTAATAAAACATTTAAGTTGATTGAAAATTTTAAAAGCTAATCTCTTGTTAAGAGAATTAGACAAAGAGACAAATTTATAGGAAGAATCTATTAATGAAAGGAATGGTGAAGTAAGAAGGAGGAAAGGAGGACAGAAGAGGGAAAACAGGAAGAGACTGAGAAGGAAGAGGAGGGGAGTTACTCCGTTGAATAATATTCTTAATTCTGTTGATAATAGAATCACTAACAAAATCCAACGGGTAATTGTTCAACAAAATTTCAATCACAAATCTCAAATTTTTCTCATGGAATCGCGGATGAAAAAAACATATTTTAACAATTATTAAAAGTCGTGTGAATTATATTATTTATATTTTTTAAATACACACATGTGTAAAAAGAGAATGAAGAAAGAGTATATATATTAATTACATAAAAATATTAAAAGAGAATAATCGTCTTTCAGTTTATATCAAGTTGTTAAATGTTCTAAAATATTTCAGAATAAAATAATTTTACATAATAATATGTATCAAAGATATTGTTTTCTTGTATTGTGCACATTTTTGAATACATAATTTTATGTAAAGCTATACAATCATTTATACATCATTATACATCATTTTATCTTTGTATCTATAAGCTTATCACACACATAATGTTTAATTATTATATAATTCGATTTTATTGGTTATCATAATTTTTATATTTAAATCTTAATTTTTAACAATTATTATCAATATATTTTGTAAAGGATGTCTTTATTTTTTTCCCTTAAATTAATTTAACTTTATTATCTATGCTGCATCAGTTATTATTTTTGTAAATATCTTATCTTTGAGAAATCATATAATATAATTTTAAGCTTTAACAAAATTGTTGCATTTCAAATCATAACATATTTCTCATATAAAAATAAAAGCAGCTAGTTATATTAAAGAGCAAGAAAAAAATTAATATCATTTTTTTATTTACATATATATACTACTAATTTTATATCTTGTTTTTTTTTTTGAAACTACGAATTATACATCATGTTTTCGACATAAATTATTTGCCGAAAAGATAATAATTTCACAACTCGAAAAAAATAAATATATTACCAAATTATCTTATAAGATAAACATTATTTTAATTATGAAGCTTACTGTCACTCTGGGATTCTGTGGAATTATTTTCTTCATAGGCAACACTTATCATCCATATTTCATATATTAAAGTCACGAGCTTTTTCTTCATTCTCAAGTTGATCACTATTCGCTTGATTAATTTTCATTCTTTTTTGTTGAATGGATGCTTTTGCTTTAGATTCCACATGCAAGTCCTTTAGTGCTTTAACACCTGTTTGCAAAGCAATATATTTTCATGACAATTGCAATATACTATTTATATTTTTTTAAACCTATTATTATATATTTGATAAATATTTAAAAAATTTTTGTCAAATATATAATAATAGGTTTAAAAAAATATAGTATATTGCAGTTTTTTAAATTAAATATATATATATATATATATATATATATATATATATATAACTCACTGAGAAATATAGATCCAAAAAACATCTATTAAATATTTATTAGGTGTCTATAGTCTTTTCGATCTATCATTTTTCACTGGAAGTTAAACTATATAAGAAATTAAAACTCTTTATAAACTATATATATAGTTTATAAAGAGTTTTAATTTCTTATATGATTTCACTTATTTGATAAATGGATTAAATGAAAAAAAATTATTTTCTAATTACAATGAAGATCCTCCATGCTCATTTTAACTATCTGTTTTACATCTACCAAATTTTAATTTATTTATAACTGATAAATGTTGGGAAAAAGTGACATTGCTTAATCTAATTGAAACAATAAAATATTTTATAAAACCATAATATATATAAATCTCTATAAGAATAAATATAGATAAAGTTATATTATTATTATTCGTTAGAATAAAGGGAGCTATAAAAGTTCTGTTTCTGCATGCATATGTATGTGCGTGTGTGTATGCATGCGTGTTATGCATGTATATGTGTGTGTATACGCATTCAAAAAATATATTATAATTTATATTTAATAATTTGTTATTTACGTTTCCGTTTTAGTATTTTGTTGTCTTTTTTTCCTTTTCTACCTTTTTTTTCTTTTCTTTCTCCTCTTCCTCCTCTTCCTCCTCCTCCTCCTCCTCCTCCTCTTCTTCCTCTACTTCTTCCTCTTCCTCCTGCTCTTCATCTTCTTCTTCAGCTTCACTGTCCTGTACAGTGGGTAATTTTCCATATTTTGCCTCAAGTTTAGCTATTAATTCTGAATCATCAACATTTTCGATTTCCTCATCTTCTTCCTCTTCCTCTTCCTCTTCCTCTTCTCCTTCTCCTTCTTCTCCTTCTTCATCATCATTATTTTCTTCCATTTGCTCTTCATCATACTCTACCATTCCCAAAACATGTTCGCTTTCAGATGTTTCTAATTCATAATTTTCTTCTTCTTTAGATGATATTATTTTAAATTGGTCCTGATTAGTATCGATTTCTATAGTCGAAAAATATAAGCAAATATGTGAGGCATACATACAGTTTATCTCAATATAATACAAGAAAAAAATAATAAAAGATTATTCACCACACCTGCTTTAGCTGTACTTTGAATTGACCATTTTTCGTTTACTTCTGGTGCTTTATCTTTTGAAGTTAAATTGTTTACATCGATTAGAGAAATATTTTCTTCTTGTAGATCCATATATTTAAATCTCAAATCTTCATAATTTTTCACTTGTGCTTCTATAGGTTTTTTATTGTCGACGTTTTCAACTGATTTAATTACTTGTTTAATATGAGGCGGTGGAACTATTGTATTGCGTCTTGATAAATCAGGTATGTCAATTATATCATGCGAAGAACGGGAAGTATTAACTGAAAAATTGAGTTATTCAGTATTTTATGTTGATGCATGCAAGAAGGATACAGATTCATTCTATGAATGTATATACTAAATGTATATACTGTATATGAATGTATATACTAAATGTATATGAATGTATATACTAATATATAAAAGATTGATTTAGTTATAATATAATAAATTTATCTACGTCAAAGTTTTTTACTTACCTGTAAAAAATTTCAATTTTAATCTTTTTGATCTTACAACGATTACAATAATATTAAAATTAAACTCTTACTGCACATTTAATAAATCTAAACAATTGTTTTTTCATATATGTTATATATTGCAGCCTGTTATAAAAAAATATGCTGCTATAAGATAATGCATAATAAAAAATTTACCATTGTTCCATCGTCTAACGAGAACAAAATGCGCAGCAACAACAAGTGCAACACCGACTCCAAACTTCACAGCCACTGCAAGCACCATATGTTTTATTTCTAATTACTATCTTTGTTTTTTTTACAGGAAAGTACCATATAATAAATATAAAGCAGCAAGATATTTTTATCTTTTTATATTATTAAAAATGGAGAGCGGGGTGTGCTGTTGTTTATATTATATATTTTCATGTTATATTCACATTAAAATCAAGTAAAAGAGCATGGAGGATCATTTTACAACTATAGTTGAGATTCGTAATTATCTAAAGGCTTTAGCAAAAGCATTTTTAATATATATTTTCTCGTAAACTCACCACTAGTAGATTCTTCTTCAATTTCTTCTTCTTCTTCTGCTTCATGTTCACTATCTACATCATCTACATCTTCTTCACGTTCTTCACTTTCTATCTGATAAAAAGGCATTCATTTTTAATAGCAAAAAAATAAAACTAAGATAAAATAATTAACATCAAAAGATAATCAGATATATAAATGATAATAAAACAAAATGATAATGTACAAAAATAATAAAAAGGAATGTAAAATGAAACGTACATACCTCTTCTAAGGGTTCAGCACTATTATCATCAATTTCATGAATGCCAGGTATATCTGCGAATTCCTCAGATATATCATTATCCTTCTCTTCTGCAGAATTATCAATCTCCATACTAGCTTCAAGTTCCACATCAAAGTTATCATTTCTTTCGTTTATTTTATCTTCATATTCATTCGTCTCATCAGTTTCTTCCAATGTACCAGTATCATCATATTCTTCTTGTGCTTTATTTTCTTCTTCTCCTTCTTCTTCTTCATTGTCTTCATCAATACCTTCGTCTTCATTTTCATCCTCTACAAAGAAAATTTAAATGAAAATAATTATATTTTTAATATTTTTGTAACATTTTTTGCATATACCATTTGCTTCTTCTTCTTGTTCTTCTTCTTCTTCTTCTTCTTCTTCTTCTTCTTCTTCTTCTTCTTCTTCTTCTTCTTCTTCTTCTTCTTCTTCTATTTCCCCTTCTTGACTTTCTTCTTCTTCTTCTACTTCTTCCTTCCCCTCCTCTTCCTCTTCTACTTCTTCGCCAATCCCTTCATCCTCTTCTGGTTCTTTTTTTTCTTCTTCTTCTGTATCTTCTTGCTCTTCGATTTCTGTCGATTCTTCTTCATCATGGTCTTCCTTTTCTTCCTCTTCTTCTGACACTTCTTTACTTTCTTCTATTTCTTCATGCGTTACATCATGATTGGATGGCAAATCATCTACCCAGCCTTCAAATATACTTGCCCACCGTGATGATGTAATTGGTGTGTCGACTTAAAATATATAATGTTAAAATATATATCAAATATAAATACCTTCTTACGTTTTAATTCGAATCATAGATAAAAAAGACTTTTTTATTTATGTCTGCGTAATTTTTTGTTACAAATGAAAAAAAATTCTATATAAACGAAAAAACTTATTTTTCTATTTACCATCTGTAGTCCCTCTATGTTCGAATATTATTATACCAATTAATCCAACAAGAACAGCCAGTAAAGTAAAAAATATAATTCGTGCACACCAATGCCCGCCTGTGCTACTTTCTTTATAAATATGAATAGAGATATTTTCGACAGAAGTGTCAGTCGGACTGATCAAAATAGGCGGTGGAGTACCAGTATCTTCATCATCTAAATACAATAAATAATAAATTAAAAAATGCTATACTTGTACTTAAATTTTAATAAAATAATTTTTATTTTTAATATGCAATTTCTATGCAACACAAAAGACAAGTTGAATATAAATAACTATAATTAATTAACACATTTATTTATTTAGAAAGATTGTTTTTATTATACATATATAATAATTCAATACAAATTTCAGAAACATTTTTACTTTCTATTCGTGATTTCTAATTATATATGTATATATTTCCAGATCACAGAACAGCAACTGATGGAAATATTTGGCAAATATGATCCATTGGCTAGTATAAAAATAATGTGACTACGCAGTGACGAAGAAAAAGCCAGACAAAGGAACTGTGATATTGTCGCGTTTATGAGTCGTAAGGATAGAAAACGTGCATTGAAAAATCTTAATGGTGAAAATATGATAAGAGTATATTTTACAAATGTACATGTTTTTTGGGTCTTTGGAATCACCTTTTTATTTATATGTATATATTATTAATGTATTAGTCAATTTTAATATATATTATATATGTATGTATGTATTTATGTATGTATGTATGTATTTATATATGTATGTATGTATATGTTATATATAAAATAATATGCGAAATAATACGAGAAATTAAATTTTTTATCGGATTTATTGGATTTTAGCCCTCATTAGATATATATAAAATTTTAATCCGTCTAAGAAATTTGGCAAAGCTACTCACAGAGTCAGAAAATGTGGGTTTTAGAAGCTCGACCTATCTTTTAGCATACAAAAATAGATTAACATGTATTATCCAATCTAAAAGCATTTGTGTTTGAATTCTACATAATTTTCTATATTCATTTGTTTAAACCTTATGATATTTACTTTATTCATAAACTGATTAATAAAATTTTATTAATCATATATACAAATTTATAATAATATATATATTGTTATAGATCTCAAATATGCAGTGTTGAATTTAGCAGCCATTAGTCGCGTGGTAATTAAACAATATAGGATATTAAACAATAATTACATTAGAATACAATTATGCGATTCATACATTTGAGAAGTATTAAACATCTTCAAATAAGTTCGCAGTTTTTGTAAGAATTTTATGTGTATCTTCTAACGATGTCATTATACTGCACAGTTATTGTATAATATAAAAATCCTGTGCAGTGATACATAACATCGTTAGAAAAAATAAGGGCTTATTATATTCTATATAATATATACAAATTTATATATATATATATAAAGTTTGTGGAAATGTAAATATATAAAATGAAATATAATTCTTTCAATGTATTCAAAGCTAAAATATTACATATAGATTCAAAAATTCTGAAAATACAATATTTAATTTCTCGTATTAATTTATTTCTTGTATCAGTGTTTGTTAAATATCGTCCAATAGAGGAAGAGGAAGAGAGAGAGGGGGGGGGAGGGGGAAGGGAGAGAAAATGAAAAAGAGCATGAATCGAGTTATTGTTTAGGGAAAATGGAAAATATATCTATATTGTTAGGGAAAATGGAAAATATTTCTATATTAATCATTATTAAAAATACAATTCTTTCTAAAAATAAATTTTATAAGATGATAAAATTTCCTTTTAAAAATGTCAGCAAACAATGATTATTTGCATTATCTTACGTTTAACAATTTAAGTGCAACGTACAAACTGTTAATATAAATAAATCGAGTATTATTAGATGCAAGAAATTTATAAATTAAATAATTGAAATAAAAATATGTCACGCGTCTGCCAATAAGTAACAAGCTACAGTATGTGGATATTTTTGGAAGCTAACGGAGGATCGTAAGAATAAAACTCCGCTCTATTATATGCGCTTGTAATATTATCGTTTCGTCAAAATTTTTGACGTATCCTGTTTTAACTTTAATACATTATTGTAATAATATAATTTGCGAATATAAAAACGCTCGAAAACGCAGTAAAAAAGCGGAGCATAAACGCGCAAATTCTTCAAAACAAGCAAGACACTCAAGTTAATAATAACGCGTATTTTCTGCAGGTATTGATTGTATTTTATAAAAAATAAAGGAAAAAAAACGTTGCTAAAATTATCGCACAGCTATAGGAATTTGTGTTATGAAAGTGCGATATGTGAATCATGCGCGCACTAGTATACCTTTTATAAGCCTTCAGTTCTTTACCTTTTTTGCGTCGTTTTTCCTTCCGTTTTCTTGGTTGCACATCACCAGACATTCTTTAACAAGCGTACACTAAATCGAGTGCTGTTTTGTGGTCACTTTAAATAATTTAAATTTTTAAATATGTGCCGAAGATCTCTACGTTGGAGATCACTATACTCTGTACATACAAAATTTCATTCGAAGATGCTAGATCGGCGCTTCCGAGCGCGAGAAAATCTTATGCGAATTTATCGACGTCACGGGCATGTTTCGCGTGCCATCTATTGGGATTATTCTTCATTAAGTTATTAATTACCGATACTCAATAATAATTGAATATGTATATCGAATATAAGCTTCATCAACTGCTTGCATTTCTCAAATTAATACCGCCGAGTGGTCGTCGAAAGCTTTTCATTTACACTCAAGTGATATTGAGTCACTCAATTATGTATTTTATAGTCAGATTAGTAACGTCATTATTTAATGAAATAAAAAGTAACGTCATTATTTAATGAAATAAAAAGTAACGTCATTATTTAATGAAAAAAATGAAATAAAAAGAAATAAATATTATGTATATAAATATTATGTTTTTGATATTGTATATCTAGTATAATCCCAGAAAACATTTTGCGCGTAAATATCTAGCAAGTCGCGCACAAATATGGTTCATATCGCGCAAGCAAAACCCTATCCCAGTGCGTCGTCATAGCGGTAGTAAAACGCTAGCACATTTTGCGCGTGAACTCAATAAGCGATATGTACGCAAAACGCTAGCATATGGTATCCATTTGCATGTGATTCGCTGGTGTACATGAGCTTAACCAACTTGCGGGCAAAACTCACGCAAACCGCGTACACAGTTTATATACATAAGACGCGCAAACTTTGCGCGCAAGGAATGTTATCTGGGATACTATTAATTATAAATATAGTGCAATATATATTAATTATAAGTGTATAGTGCAATTTTATTATTAATTACAATTATATAAAAGTATTATTAATTATAAGTTGCAGAATAACAAATAATTTATTTCCAATTACCACAAAAAATACCGTAATATCTGTATTATCTGCATTCTGTATTCTGCAATCTCTCGATATCCTTTTCTTCCCTTCTCTTGCATGACTCATATCTGGTATTATAATAATTTTCTGTTTAGGCTAAATGATTGCTAAATCATTTCACGAACTACAGTATACATATATCTATCTTTCTCATATCTCAATCAGAAAAGATAATAATTATACATTTCGTTTTTTTAAACTTATATGTATGTATATATATATATATATATATATATATATATATATATATATATATGCTACATGCTACGACCCTATATATTTTTGCTTCATACAACTTTTGTCTGAAACATTTTTTTATATCTCGCTTCGTTTTCGAGAAAAACACGATGGACGTTTTATCAGACTCACCCTGTATATAATAAATATTGTGTTAACATGTTTTTCTGATTTCATAAATATAAATTTTATATAAGTAAATATTGAGTTTTTCATATAAAGATCAAAGTGTAGAGCATCTTAATTATTAAATGCATGTATATATCTGTCGTAATATATTATTCAACAGTATACGACGAATCTCTAATCGGTTTTCTAATATGTGAAAAATAAATGTGGATAAACGAGCATTAATTACATTAAAGGATACATTGTTCCATGTTTATTGCGCAGAAAACATATGTACAATATTAAAATATACAAAGGATATATATATATATATATATATATATATATATATATATATATATACAGAGTTGGGAAGTATGCGTTACTTGTAATATCGTTATCGTTACTTTTTTCTGTCTGTAACGGTAACGATAACGTCGTTATATTTTTACAGTAACGGTAACGAATTTAACCGTTACTTTTAATCGTTACTTTAATTTTGTAATTCTGGATAGTATCCTCTTAGTAACTGAAAAATCTATTTTCATTACAAAACAGTTTGCAAATATTTTGGAAAATTATATACATGCATAATGTTTTTCTCTGTATTTATAAATCTAAAATTTCTAAATTACAATAAATGAAAAATTGAATATGAAGAACATCAATGATGAAATAATTTATAATTATCGAATATATAAAAGTAATAATTATATTTTAAAATCAACTATAATAAATACTATAAAATAATAATCATATTTTAACATAAATTAATTTAATTTTTGTATTATAAAAAGTAACGGTAACGGTAACGCGTTACTTTTTGAAGTAACGTTCTCAACTCTGTATATATAGCTTTTGCCTTTTTGTAGGTATTAATTTTTTTATCTCTACACACATTGTATAAGTTAATGATTCTGTACGTAACTTACGTACACCCGAGATCGGCGGATTGCCATGTTTCAGGTGCATTTTATGCGCATTTTCATTTATAACTAAAAAAGGAAGCTTCCACTGAAATTTTCTTACTCTTAATTTTAATCATATTCTTCAACAGAAAAAACACTTTTAGATTCACTTGTTTATTTTCTCTCTTTTCCTTTCGAATTTTGTTCAAATAATTACAAATTATTGTAACACAAATAGGCATTATAATTTTTTAGGCTTTTTTCGAAAAAAATATATTAGTTTATTTCATATATAAAGAATTTTTTGTATTAGTATACCTTGATTCCCTCTCTCTCTTTCAATGGAAGTATATTGTCATGTGCATTGCATAGACTTTTTTCAAAAACAAATGTGAAGCAGTAATTACTAATGATAACAATCTATAAGTATATTTATAATCCTTTAATAAATCTCGAATAATTTAACGAGTTTAAAAATAACAAATTAATAATGAAAATTACATTTTGTAGAAAATTTGTAATTTGGAGGAAGGATTATATAGCTTAGGATTATAAAAATTATGAAAACTGATTATATACTATCACAGGAAATCGATAAAATATTTATTTAACATATAATCAATTGTAATAGCATCATAGAATGCATAAACTATGTGAAAGCAAAATGTTATTAAAATAAATTTGATGAACAACACTATAAAATTATAATATCTTTTTTCATGGTATTTTTTTCTATTAAATAATTTAACAGATCTAATATTTTTAAATGTTTAATATTTCTACGATTTTTGAGAATATATATACGGAGGACATAATTTTTTTATGAATCAGTAATGGAGTACATATTTTTGAACAAATGTAAAATTTAAATTATTTTAATAAAAATAACATTATATAAATGCAGTAAAAAAGTTTATACATGTATGTTTATAGCTGTAAAGAATAAAATTCAACGCTTGTAATTATACGTTATTTAGGTATTTTTTATCTATGATTGAATTTGTATATGTGATGTACTAGTCTAAAAAGTATTAGTTTAAGATTTCACAAGTTTTCTCCTCAATTTGTAAAGTAATCAAGTCTATTCACAATATTAATAGATATCTTTGTATTTTTATTCTTTGCATTTTTTTAATATAAAATAGTTTATATATATATATATATATATATATATATATATATATATATATGTAAATCTAATATTATGTTATATATATAAATATCTACTCAAGTTTTATAATTAATGCTATTAAAATTGTATAACTAATGCAAGTCCTTATACTAAAATTGATGAAATTATGTATAAATAAAAAATAATGATAATTATTATCAAATATACTATTTTTTATGATATATGAGATATAATCATTTTATATTACATATATATATATATATATAAAATTAGATAAATCTAATATTGAGTTTATCAACGAGAACTCGATCTTTTAAACAATGAGATTACAAATTGTGCAATTAATAACACAGTTAGTATCATATTTATGCACATTTTCAATATATTGAAATGAGGTGAGAAAATAAATAAATAATAAATAATAGAGATTTCTGTGTATGTGTGATGACAAAATTACGTTTTGCATAACATGGTAACAAACCAAAAGGCACATTAAAAATTATTCTGTTGAACTCTTTCTTATTTTTAAGCAGTGTTAAAAGAGGAATGAAACAATTTATAATAAAAAGCTGATATATGAAGAAGAGAAAATGACCTCCAGCAGCAAAATCATTAATTTATACAATGGAAATGTGTGTACAGATAAAAAAATTTAGCCCCATACTTACAAAAAGGCAAGAGCTATATTGTGTATGTACAAGGTGTGTGTGTGTGTGTGTGTTTGCGTGTGTGTGTGCGCGCGCGCGCGCGTGATATTTTTAAAGAAATGACTAATGTAAATCTCTCTTTGTTTCTCAATTTAGCTATTCGCACCTCACTTTTTTTAGCCTATAAATATCGTTTTTTTACGATTATTTATTGGACTAAAAAAACCCGTGTAAATGCCCTAGACAGATACGTTAGTGTCTGTCACGAATAATTGCTACGAATGTATCTGGGCTCATGCCAGTCTCCATTACATACACCCCTATTTATTATTTTTAATTTTTTTTAAATTTATACTAACGCGCAACTTTTACATTTGTACATAAAGATAAATTAATGATTGCCACGCTCATTCAATGAGTTGCAAGATATGTCAGGGGCATCGTGTTTTAATCGTCTCGTACATTCATCTAATATTCTAGTGTTATCATAATTAGCCAACCTCCGCGATAACGTACCCGATAGATTAATACTATCTGTCGTTAATAGATTGGTGCTTTTATGATTTTCTATATTTTCATTGCCATTTCTTTCCGATTTATCAGATCTTAATGAATTGTTTAAACTATGATCAAATTTTCTGAGATCATTTTGGATACTTTTGATAGCATCGCTACTATTTTCGTATCTCCGCAATAAATTGCTTTCATTCTCATACCTACGATTAATAGAGCCAGAATCAAAACACTTTCTGAAAGTATCATCGTATCTTTGATTCTCGACAATTTTCCTAGAGAATGTCGTGTCATAATGTTCTGTTTCTATGCATCGTTGGTTTACACTGTCCAACTCGTACATCCGCTTCGGTAACTGATTATCAAATCCTGCTCTACTAGCTAAGTGGAGGTAGTTGTCATCACCAATAGGAGCTTGTCTATAGAAATATAATATATTATAATCGTTACTTTTCGTGAATGTTTCAATAAAAATATTATGAGAATGTGTGTGTGTGTGTGTGTGTGTGTGTGTGTATGTGTGTGTTAAAGTAATCAACTGTACTACATACTTGCTGCCATATTTGGTGTCACGTGCCAGTCTTCTAAAATAGGCTCTATGTTCACGCTGCAATGCATATGCAACTTCTCTAAGGGCGTTTAAAGTCTTGAAACAAGAAGGTACATCTTCTATAGGCGATCCTCCGTCTGGTATAACACATATATCACTAGCACCATAAACTGCTTGGCATTCACATGCATTCATTAAGGTCTCAAGGCGTGACATATTTGTAAAAATTAACGAATGTATCCTTTGCAAATCGCGATCTGGATCTAAAACCATTCGTAGTCCAGCTTCTATACCTGGTGATACTTCACTACATCCTGGTGCAACTTCTGCAGCTGCCCGACAACTGTAGATTGTAAAAACATAGAGACAATTAGAGCTTTAATACAAGTTTTATTTAGATATTCTTTTTAATATATGCTTTTAATATATGATGTAATGTTTTTTTAATTACATACCAAAGCCAATGGCCATTAATGTATGCACTTGGATGATACTTTTCTAAACGGTTGCTGTTTGTTTGACATATTTTTGTAAGAATATCAATCCATTCTTTTTCTTCAACACAATTACCGGCTTGTACGTACAATGCTCTCTGTGGCTGAATAATTTGAAACATATTTTTCATTTTGAAAGAGTCTTCATGAAGTCTCTCCACTGCTAAAATTTCTTCTAATGATATCTTACATAAAGGTTCTTTACCTATGAAAAATTTGTTTCATAAAGTTTTTTAATTTTGTCTCTTGAAACAGAAATAAATACACTTTATTTTAAGAAAACATTTACCTTTTGTTTTAGAATATGTTAAATCTTGTGTAGTAAGTCTAAAATATCTCTGCTTAAAATTCTTACGACCAAATCGTTTTCTACCTTGTGCCCGTTTAATCATTATTCTATAAAAAGCAATTGCAAAAGCTCTCATAGAAATATACCCAATCAGCCAAATCTATTCTAACAGATTTTGCCAAGTGCCTGCTACAAATTATTGTTAGCAGAAAGACTGCAGATTGCAAAACCTGTTATATTAGATAATGATAACAGAATGTTAGCAGAAATGTTACAAAATCTGCTAACATAATTTGATAGCAGGACACTAGCAGAAACTGAGCAGAATTGGCACAAAATTATAACAGATTGGAAACAGAAATCGAGCAAGATCTGCGCGAAGCAATTTTGATGTTAGATTGCCGGTAGAACCGAGCAGGATTTGCGCACACAATCTCTGATAGTAGGTTCTGTTAGCATAATCTATGGTCAGATTATATTTTACAGACTCTGTCGTCAGAACACAAGCTTAATGGCTATAGTTTTGATGTGAGATTCTGATCGAATCTGTTGCTAATCTGCTGACATTTTGTTTACGTATATATGTGAGTTGTATATTGGCAATAAATTTAAATTTAATCTTAAAATACCAACCTCTTATCACAATCAATAGTATGCATAACGAGAAAATATACTCTATTAGAAGTATATATAAAATATTTAGTTTATAAAGAACTTATGCAGAGTTTCAGTATATTACAATTTTAAATAAAGAAAATCTGATATTTTAATGTGATTGTATGTTTTAATATTACATATATAAACTTCATAACAAGAGAAATGAATTATATTGTATTTCATTCAAAAATAAACATACCCTTCTTTTAACACCACTGGTTGTTCTTGCAACATTGTCGGACGCTGTTTTGTAAAACTACTAGTATTACTACTAGTCGATATTAACTCCAAAAATTGCTTGACTGCTTGAATATGCCTATCTGTATAAAACTCTCTACAAAATTAAATTACATATACATAGCAATATAAGAAAATATAATTTGTTTTTTTTTTAACTTATTACTTTAAATATGCAAGATTTTAACAATTTAAAAAAAAATACTTTACATAAAATCTAATAAATAATTTGTTTTTTTTTTTAAACTTATTACTTCAAATATGCAAGATTTTAACAATTTAAAAAAAATACTTTACATAAAATCTTACCTATATACACATTCCATATATTCTTCTTTACAAACACTGCCTGCGCCACCTCTGCAAGACACCAGATTTCCTAAACTTTGGATTGTCTTAGATATTAATGTTAATGTCCTATTCGTTTGTGAATCCTGTAATAACATCACATATATAAATTTAATAGAAAATAAACTGCTATGAAAATTATATTAATGTACTACATTTATACATATATCTTCTTAATTACTTACAATTTGTTCACTAGTAATATCAAATAATCTTGGACCCAATATTGCAGGAGCAAAAAATCGTAAAAAGATAAATCCGCTGATTACTGAGTATCTCACTTCTTTATTTTTTGGAAAGTGAGTTGCAGCGAGTTCTCTTAAACACCAGAACATTTCACACATTAAAGGTGGACATCTCACTCCTGATGTTGTTATAGCTATAAATACTCTTTCAACATATTCCTAAAAAAAGAAGGCTATTATTATATCTCTTATCATTTTAAGAAAGAAATAAATGCACATTTATGATTAGTAATACCTTCAAATTCGTCAAATTAGTTTGTATAGTATTGCTATCCTTTACTCGAGTTGGGTCTATTTCACATTGCTTTTTCTCAAGGAAGACTTGTTCCATTGCAGGTCTAAGAGTACTGTGCAAGTAATGAAGACCTGCTAATCTCATACCTTCGTCCATCATTTTGCTCACTAATGTATTACCTCGAAAAATTGTCGTTGGATCACTTAAAAATTGAAAGAAAAAAATCTCCAAAAAAAAGAAAAGAAATTTAATTTATTATAGTCATTACTTGTATGACTATAATAGATAATACAATATCTAATTTAAAAATAGTACAATCTACTCACGTCAATTTAGAAATCTCATGACTAGCAAGTGCTCGCATTACAGACACTAATTGTCCATGATGCACCAATACTTTAACTAATGGTTGTGCAGCTTCCATTTTACTAGCTACAATTTCACCCAATATATAAACAGCCGATGACGTTATCGGCTGAACATTAACGCTTTGCAATAATAAATTTCTAAGCCTATCATACATTTTAGATGGAAATACATGATCAGCTGTATAATGAATTTTTAGACGTAATGATCCCAAGCCTGGTAATGTACCAGGTGATGTTGAGTTATTTGTAATTTTACACGGACGATGTTTTGCTGCTCTTGGTTGCAAAAAATACCTGCATAAATATAAAATAACATAATTCAGTCAAAAGCTGAATCCATAACAATTCTAATAAAAAGAAAAAAAAAACACTTGTTATACCATGCAGTTGTTGTACTAGTTGGTAAGCCTTTTAGTGTGACTCGAATTTCGCCGAGAAATACCGATTGTTCACCCATACCAGGAGATGCATGCCACAAACCAACAACTACTTCTCCAACTTCAGCTCCTTCCATAGAGTAATGAGAAATATCTTTGTCCTTGGTCTCTATTAATTCTGGCTATAATACAAAAAGAAGCCAATTTTGTGCATGTTGTCTCTCTCTCTCTCTCTCTCTCTCTTTCAAAGTAATAATGAGTAATGTACTTTCTTACCTCAAATATGAATGTTTCATTAAAATATGGAGATGATGTTTTTTTTCTAACTTTTGTGCGTTTTGATATTTGTTTACCATTACTATAGATGACTGTAACAGTTGCAAAGGGATCACAGCTACTATTTTTAATAGTTAATTCACTACATTCTATTACCCTGTAATATATAAAGTATAATATATTATCAAACATGTTTTATATTCATATATTATATATAGATTATCAACACAATAATTTATCACCTTTCTTACCTTACTGTAAGTTTAGGCTGAGCATGCTCAACCTGAGGTTGCAAAGCAAGTTCCAGATGAGCTTTGCCTTGAACCTCAGAGTCAGCATCAACTGGTTTTAAAGGAAACCAATGCTCTTTATTATGATATGATGCTAATTCTTCTCTTTTTATTGCTACCTTTCCTAAAATCTTATCTTGCTTTAAATGTCTATCTCGATCATATACATAAATGCCAAGATAACGAAATTTTCTAGGCACTTCAAATTGAAATTCTTCTCCGAAAAATGGGCTGTTTACATAAAAAATGAAATAATTACTCGTAAATAATTTAAATCAATTAATTATGCTCTAAGATAAAATAGAAAAATCAATATTTACTTGAGTGTTCTTTCCATAGTTGTTGTCCTGAATATTTCCTCCTGATCCAGTGACAGCACGCAATAAACATCCCTCGTACTTGGAGATCCATGGCTCCGACTTTGAAGATTTTTTACTTCTCCTATATAAAAAATAATACATGATGTAATTAACGAACATTTCTTGAGAAGTTAGGCATTCATGTTATTATTTTAAACAATTGTTTGAATAATTTGAGAATAATTGTTGTAATTTATTTTTAATGTGTATATATGAACAGAGAGAATTATTCTCTTTATTAATTCATAGATAATAATTAGTATGCATTGTTCTTCATTGACTTAAAGCCAATATTTTGTTATACTATTGTCATACACAAGGCAATGCATCTTCATTTCATTTATGTACATTTTATTAATTTACCATTCTAGTGCTCATCCACGATTTTATCATTTATCTTCTCGATAAATTGTTTAGAGATAAAATCCAAATTCTTTATCTTAAAATTGTCAAATTATATGATTAAATCCCTTAACACTTTTAAATATTTTTTTATCATTGAACGTTATTTACGAGCTTAATTTTACATCACACTCAAAAGGAAAATTATTTGTTGCAGAAGAATCGTCATTTTCTACACTTGTGAAAAGGTAGAGAGAAAATTAAATTAACTTGGAGAAAATTACACTACACTCATCGAGAAAATTAAATTAACTTGGAGAAAATTACACTACATCTCATCGAGACAACCGGTGACAAACGGTAAGAAACGGAATCGAGGAGAGATCCAATTAAGGTAGATACAATTAATCCAATTAAGGTAAGATACAATTAATTCAAAATTTTTGAAAATGTTCAATACGCGATTATTACGTGATGGCGATTTTCTCATTATATACATTCTCGCACAAATACAAATTTTCACAAGCACGCATGCACACCCGTGCGCGGGCGCACGACATACACACGCACGTGTATGCCCATGTGTAGGAGACAACGCACGCGTGGGAGTTGAGAGTGTATGCGTCAATCACTAGCGAATTTCGCATGAAAATCGGACGTTGTCGTCGATCACGTTCGCCGACCGCGCAAAATCCCATCGCGTTATCGAGACATCGGCCGCGAAGACTCGCCATTTCTCGGTGGCGATTCGAGAAAAACATAGTAACCAGAAAAAAAAAAGAAAAAAGGCGAATACGATCGTGGGAGTCAAATTAGGTGACATCCTGAGCGTAGCTCGAGCGGACAAACGGTCTCGCGGCGTCCCGAAAATTGAGATTCCCGATCGATCACCCATCGCGGACAGCGAGGACGCATCGCACTCGCGAGTCCCACGTTGCATTCGCGCTTCCTACCGATTTTGATCTTTAGTCTCTCCTCAACGCGAACTAGGCGCGTCTCCTCGGCCATGTTACCTCCATGACACTACTGAGTGACTACCTACACGAACGGAACGCAAACGGTTCGTTCATTCTGTGAATGGGTCTAAGCAGGGCCGTGACGTGACGTGTCGGTGCCCATTCATACCGCGATCTCTTACACACGTTTTTCGTCGCTCTTTGCATCCCCACCCGTTATCACGCGATGTATGCCATTACTTCCGCCCGCTTCACCAAGTATACATGTATACGCGTCTTATATATATATATATATATATATATATATATATGTGTGTATATATATATGTATAAATATATATAAAAATATATATAAAATATAAGATAAAATATATATATATAAAATATATATAAAATATAATATAAAATATATATAAAAAAGAAAATATATATATATATATATATGTATGTACACGTAATATATGCACCTATATATATATAAAGATTCTACATATATGTACAACAAAAACGAATTCTATTCATTACGCGTGCGCGGTCCGTAGTGTAATTTTAAATTTTACATTGGACCCATTAAAAGCTAGCTTTTCTAGCTTTTCCTATTTTAAACTATATGATTTAAATACGGGGCACGCCAAATTTTCATATCTTACTTCGACCTGAAGGTTATTTATGCGATTTAGAATTTGTGTAAATTTTTTATTTTATATACTTTTTATTTTTATATACTTTTATATATTTTTATATATACTTTTTTAAATTATATACATTATATGAAAAATGCTTTAGGAATTAAAGTAATTTTAATTCATTTAGTATCGATTATGAATTAATATCACATAATTTATTGTACTTGGCTAATAGTATTAATCTTATATCGGTTTTTAAATATTTTATTTTTATCACTCTTTTAAATTTTTTGATTTTTTTACGTACTTGGCGTATTTTTTTATCTTTATAAAGTTTTTTTTTTAGGGGTATGCAATTAATACTATACAATTAATTGGAATAGAATTCATCTAAGTGACGTCCCATATTGCTATTAAATTGACTAAAACATAAATTTGATCAATGACGTCAAATTGACATTACTTTGTATTTTTCTTGAGATTATATTATTATCGTATTATTACAATTATTATCATCTCTAAAATAGCAACGAATTAATATTTCACTTTTCAGTATTTATAAAAATCATGAAAATATTGCATATATCTTATTCCGACAAATATATATTTTTTGTAAAATCGATAATCTTTAGAATTATATAAATACAAGTGTGACGCACACATGTGAGAATTGTTAGAATAAAAGACCGTTTTTTCCTTTATTTAAGTGATGTTGATAATAGTATTGTAATGACAGATTATCTTTATTCACGTTAACGTCGAAGAATTAATCAATGAATTTGTTTATCAATCATTTATGTCTCGATAAGTGAATGAGCAATATCTTGATTGAATTATGTATATATATCTTCTACGTAGGATATATATATACATACTATATTCTACGTAGGATATATATATATACATAATTCATATCCTATGAATTATGTATATATATATCCTACGTAGAATATATTTAAAGAGGGAAAGTGAAACATTTTCTAAACATATTTAATACATATTTTGTTACAACTTAATTTAATTAAACGATAAATATTGTGGTATTTAATTCTATAACCTGATGTGAACCTGATTATATTATATGTTGCATAATGAGTGTAGATAATAAAGGCAATTAACATTAAGTTTTGATAATATCCCTCATTTTAATTAATAAAATAAAAGTAAAATAGGACTAAAAAAACTGTTATCTTAATTTGATTCAAAATATTAAGTTTATTATTTTTATTAATCTTTCTATACAAAATCATGCAAATTGTATTTTTGTATGATTAAATATTAATAACTTTTTAAGCTAATCATTTTAAATGAATAAACAATAGGTTTTTCTTTTTTCCTCCGAATATTATTTTTTATATGTAAGATTAAAATTGCGTAACTTTTGCTTCACTTAAATCACAACGGATTTATATGTATGAATTAAAACTATTAAGAGAATTCAAATTTTTGTAATAAATTGACAATAGTACTCGCTATTCTACGTATAGCAAAAATAATTGATAAATAGACTATTATATTTTTAATTCCTTATTTTTCCATATTGCATCTTCAGTATATGTACATATATGATTGAGGAATATGGATTTTCTGGACAATTTAACGCGTCCATTTGTTTCCTCGTGCGATGATTCATTCATCATTGGTAACATTTATGTATCTGTGGTATCACAATCGGTCGCTACGGGGTTGACATATATCGGGTGTCTAATATATAAAGCGCGCGTAACATTCTCTCTCTCTCTTTCTATTCTTTTGCTCACGATATGTATCGCATGCACACACATATATAATCACAGAGTTAAATCACCACCGCTCGCGTTATTCCCGTTCTATTTCTCTCTCTTTCGTGATCAGTGCTTATTATATTTTTTTCCTTGTCTTTAGTGTCAAGTCTGTATACTACGGCTGCTGTATATATACGAACGATACGATGACAGAGTGTAGGCGCGCGCAGGTCGGTTGGTTAACTGTACATGTGTGTAAGTGGTGAGCCACTTCCTGATGGCGCAATGGCCCGCTTCCTCTCCCTCTTCGTCTGTCTTTGCTCTTTATGCGAATTACATCGTCTTCTCTCTCCCTCCTCCCTCCCTCTCTCTCTCTCTCTCTCTTTTTTTCTCCATGCATTCTGTCTCTTCTTACTCTATCACACTTTCTCTGCCTACCCATTTCTCTTTTTTTGCTTGTTATTAAAATAACACAATAAAATGCCACGCGAAATCTTATTAATGTAATAAAGTTGTAGACTCTGTTGAACAAAATTTCATAAATTGAAATAAACACAGTAAAATTTGTAAAAAGAAACAATATTATATACTTAAAAATTTTCTTGCTTGAATTGTAGAGAAAATATGAGAGAAGAATGAGAGTGTTTTAATAAGATTTTTAATCAAGACTACCATATAATTTTTTTATCTCTCTTCCTTCTCACTGTCTGTACAAAGAAAAAATAAGAGTATTTTGAATATTTCTCGGAAAAAAGAGAGGATCTTACATGTTATTTGTAAGCTTGCCAGAATTTTGTTTTATATCTTTTTCCTTTGTTGCTTCGGCACAAGCATACATTACTTTTCACAATCAAAATCGAGCGCATTAAAAGCAATGTTAATTTTTAATCAGTAAATGTTCGCAAAAATAATGATACATCATAATCTAAAATATATTAATATATTAATAATATGTAAAATCTATATAATATGTAAAATATATAATATATATATAAATATATTATTATCTTCGCTTATTCGAGATAATTGTGATTTACCGTTAATTATGAAATAATCACATAAAAATATATTATCTCAAAACTACCTAGGTATACTAGCTTCGTTCTTTCACAGAATTTCCCACGTATATATACGTTAGCATAAGAATGATCTTTTCGCAACGACAACGGACGCTGCGTGTAATTAAGTGAAGAATTGTAATGAAAACCACGTCTTTTAAGGAAGAGAGATAAAAAAATTATATGGTAGTCTTGATTAAAAATCTTATTAAAACACTCTCATTCTTCTCTCATATTTTCTCTACAATTCAAGCAAGAAAATTTTTAAGTATATAATATTGTTTCTTTTTACAAATTTTACTGTGTTTATTTCAATTTATGAAAAGGCAAAAGAAAATTTACAAGCTTCCCATGTATTATTGTCACAATGCATGCTATATAAATAAACCTTCATAACAAATTACATAATTTAACATTGTTTTATTATAAAAAAAATAATTTCACTATAAAAAAAAAATAGGAAACTCGTGATATTTTTGCCAATGCCAAGAAAAAAATTTGTTACAACTTAAGCATGTTATTGCACATTAAATGCAAATATTCAGTATTTCGTAAATGTTTCCTTCGCTGGAAATTTTTAGATAAATTCATCTTAGATAAATTCATCTTAGATAAATTCTTAAACACTATTTTCGTATCATGTGTTTTTCAATGATAATATCTTTTTAATGCGAAATTGCATATAAATTGTTAGCTAGGTGTCGCTATGATGAGTAATTTTATATACACACACACATGTATATGAATGTATGTATGTATGATGTGCGTTATTACATACGAGAAAGTTTTCCAAGATGCAATTATAAAGAAATATATAATTACCTATATATCTAGTTATTTCACATCAAGTTCTTGTCATTACGATTTCTAAAATTAATTAAAGAGATTAAGTATTTATTAAAGAGGAAGAGAGGAGGGGGAGGGAAAGAGAAAAGAAAATTAGAAAATAAAAATATATTAAAGATAAAGATGATAGCGGTTTGTAAAGTGTACGAGGCAGTAAAAAGATGGAGAGAAAAAATTATGCGAAATCGCGCATAAATGTGACGCAAAAACACACCGAATGAGAATTATTAATTGAAAACTGTTAAAAATTGTTCAACCTTCATGCTGTATATGTGTATCACTACCGTAGGCCGGTTCGATCGAGCGAGCACATGAATGGGAACGGGTGGAGCGGTTACAGGGAAAAAATATGAATGAAGTCGTGCGGTAGTGACAGTCGCGTACGCGGATTTACGTTCGCCGCGCATGCGTCCCCGATCCGTAATGTACGTACGTAGCACGTGCATCGTTTCGTGCCATTCAGCGTAAGTAGCACCACTGACGAAGTTACTGTAAAAGATAGCCAATATTATGAGTACTCATTTTGAAAAATCCATCATTAAGCTAAAGGAAATATATAACACGAAATATAACATGACAAAAAAAAATATATATATATATATATGTGTATATATATATAAATATATATATATATATATATATATATATGTATGTATGTACGTATGATGGATGTATGTATATATGTATACTATTTTTTGTCTTTCAAATCTAAAAATTCATAATTTTCGTAATTTATTTGTTGCTTTTAAAATTAATTACATGCTTATTTCCTTGATATTGATTTTTTTAAATATTATTATACAATATTTTATAGATATTATTTTTAAAAAAACAATTAACATATTTAAAGTATTTGTTACTATTTTTCTAAAAATATATACGAAATATTATTTGAAATATTTATAATTATTTAGATTATTTATGTAAAAATATTTTTATTTATAAATGTTTATATCTATAAAAATTTTTATTTTTTAGAAATTATAATAATTTTCGATAAAAAAGTTAATAAAAAAATCCAATTGCCCACAATAATATTTTTTTTTAAATATTAATTGAACACATAAATATTAATTGAACACATTATGCAAAATTTACTTTAAGTAAGATTGGATTCTAGCTTTGAGTGTGTAATATTTTTTATTTCATTTTCTTTATTCATATTTTTCACTTATTTTGCAGTGAAAATCACTGATATTTGTAAAATTTATAAAATGGAACACTTAACAACGTACAAATATTATAAAATTTGTCGTCCTTCATATTATTATTATATATTTCTATATATATAATGCTATATATTTCTTATATATTATCATTATATATACTACATAGTTTCATACATATTTTTTATATTATCATTATACCATATATTTTGTAAAATATGTTATTTTTTAAATTAATTAAACACGATAAATGTCCAGATCAATAATTTAGAATAGAGTTTAAAAGTGCACTTAAAAAACGCAAACGCATTTTAACAATACAATAGACAAATAAAACTTTATATTAGCTTACAAAGACATAGATATCAAATACTTAAATTGAGTATGCTTTGTTGACATAAAATTAGATTATTGATAATATTAATTATATATACGTATATAATAAAATTGAAAATTGATATGCAACAAATAATTAAAAATAGTAATTAATAAAGATATAGAGAAAAAGAATTCAAATATATATAAATATATACTCAATAATCTCATATATTTTACTTACATTATCTGTATCGAAGAAACTAATAAATTATGTATCTAATAAACCCAAAAATTATTATCTGATAAATGTATTTGGTATAAACAAGCCGGTGCTGGGACTGTCTTCCTTGGATCATAGAGTCTGCACCGGACTCTGATTTTTTATAAATATTTTTATGTTTTTTTAAACACAGTAATATTTTCTTATTAATTATTGTTTTATAAAACAAGCCGATGGGATTGTCATCCTTGGGTGACAGAGTCCGCATCAACTATGTTTTTATAAAATAAGCCGGTAAGTGCTGAGACTGTCATCCTTGGGTGGTAGAGTCCGCACCGGCGATGTTTTTATAAAATAAGTCAGTGGGTGCTGGGATTGTCACAAATAACGCCGCGAATAACATTCGTGATACGAATTATTATATCGTAAAAAAAATTAATAAAAACAATTAAAAATCAAAATTGACGGCCATTAGTTCTGGACACTCCAATTCTTCGTTCGTCGCAGTTGATGTCAATGTTAATTGAATGAATTTATCGTATGGGCATAATATTTCACAGCCGGGAATGCGTTTTTCTATTATTATTGGTGGAATGCCTAAATAATGTACCACCTACAAGAAATAAATTTCATTTGTTAATTGTTAGGTATTATTGATAAATATTATGCGTGTTATCCAACGTTACTGGTAGGCACAGACGAGAAATTAGACGCTTACTTTAACAAAAAACTTGCTATTTTTTTCATGCAATTCTATGATAATACTGCTCGTGTATTGTGGAACATGTTCACAGAATATATTTAAAGCGTGCGATATTGCGGCCACATTTATATCGTGTCCAGAAAAAAGATTGAGCTTTCGATCTTTTAAAGTTCCATTGATCACTTCATTCATATCGTTAATTATTCTGCGTAATAATATACCTGTAAAAAATTGCATAAATATTTTATATAAATTTTAAAAGATATAAAAATATATAGACACACACATACAGGTATGATATTTAGCAATGTACATGAATGTTTTATATTAGATTACACATGATCAAAAGATATGTACTGTTCTTTTATATAGTAATAAAATAATAATAATAAAAATTTATAAAATAATAAATTCCATGTTTTTTTCAGAAATTCAAAAGTTATTTGATAATTATTTGTATTCTAGAGATCTAAAACGCTACCGTAACAAATGCTACCGTTTCAAAATGCTATTATTTATAACAAAGGTACTATATATTTCGCATATTTAAAATATATTGCAACAAAAATAACATTTTAAAAAATGTATGACGTTAAAAGCGATTATATTTTTATCATTTTTATTGTTATATTCCAGAAAAATGTGAGAGGAAATAGAATAAATAAATTTATGGCCGAATTTATGTAATAAAAATATATAATATCAAAATATTTCATCGAAGATTAATCTTTAATACTCTTTCATAGATAATTTATATATTATTTAATTTAAGTAAAATATGTTTTTGATTCAAATATACCTCCATTAAGTTTATTTAATAATGTGCCGTAACTAAATAGATTAAATTGTAAAATCGCAGCATCCAAAAGTGCGCCATTTGGAAATAAGTCTTGTGTCCACTTTGGTAAATGTAGTCCAAAAGATTCTTCTGCAAGTAAAGTCTGATATAAAAGATTGAGATGAAACATTGTCGTCATATTTTTTCCTGTGTAGATCGATAGTTCTTTCATTATACCAGCAAACTTTGCTATTTTTTCTTTTACTGTTATATTATTTTCTACCATGTCGTTATAGAGTCGGATATATCTAAAAAGAAATGTGCATATTTGAAATAGAGTAAAGAAGTAATTTCAAGAAGAAATATAATTAAATAATTATATATTATTTAATGATAAAATATTATTTATGATAAAATTTATATAACATAATCTTTGCAAATGCAGCATTTTTCTAAAACATAACGCTAAAAAGTCTTAAATATCATAATTGAATTAAATAATCTATATATAATATAATACTTATTACGTATATATAATTATGCTAAAATATAAATGTTCAAAATGTTTCGATAAGAGAAGAGATTTATTATGAATGTCTAGATTTTATCTATTATATATATCGTTTGGCTTACATATCTTTTTTTATTAATTTGTTATAATTTATTCTTAATTCTGTTAATATAATTAAACTCTGTTATTTGAGATGTACGACTTATTGTTATTATATATAGTGAAGAAAAAAAAATTATTTACACAGGGCACTGAATTGGAAACAACAGCTGATCATGAGTTATATTAATGTACGTAAAATCCACTGGTTGCCAAAGAAGCAGTGGATTCCACTTTTGCATGTCAGTAGGTGGATAAAGTGCTGCAAAAACTAATAGTAAACTCATTTTGGTCCTAGGGAACATTGTGCTCCGTGCATAGATATATGGCTGATAGTACATATTTCCGAGAAAACTGTTGTATCTATTTTTTAACATCAATCCTAATTGATGCACTCTCTTCTTGCCGACCTTAATAACATTATTAATAAATATAAATAATAAGAGAAATAAAATGTAATGTTTTCTTTCAAAGAAACGAAAATTTGAAAATAAAGCAATATTTTTCATGCGAAAACAAAAACATAAGAATAAGGTCGATCTTCTGTTACAGATGTATTTATTTAACCACATTTATCTTGATGTATGTTGACAAATCTTGAGCAAAACCGTTTTAATGGTAATTTATATTTTTTTGAAAATTATAAATATGTAATATATTTATATTAATAGTGAAAAGATTAAAAATGTAATGCAATATGTTATATAATGTATAAATAAGATATCTTACATTAGTTAATTGACCATTACCATATGGATAATAGCCATAATCTTTATATGGATCATTTGGATAAGATTCATTTTTTTGAACATCTGCCGTACGATCGCCATGTCTGAATATCTGAAAATTTTAACATTACCTTAGTTTCGAATATTTTAGGAGAATTTTTTTTGCAGAACATTAATTTTCATATCGTACCACGCTCACTAATCGTAATTTCGTGCCTTGTGATTGTTCTAAATCACATGTTCCTAATATTGTATGTAAACCAAAACAAAGAATTAGCGCAATTCCTAGATCACGTAGAAATTTCTTCATCTTTCAAACTAAATATATAATAATTATAAAATTTAAATATATTTTATAATAATGAATCTACACAATAAAAATGTCATTAACGTGAAATTACTTACATTAAGGAAGACACGTCTAATATTCTTGATGTATATTATCAAAGTGAAAATGTTGATCGCTTTTGACCTTATATATAATAAACTGATCATTCTTGACTTTATATAAGCTAACATCTGTTTAAATACGCACGTCTGGTGTCTATTATATATCTCGTCAAAATGTGACAATACTAATCACTTTTAATGTATTTTGTCAAAATGACAATGCTAATCGCTTTTGATGTATTTTGTCAAAGTGACAATGCTGATCGCTTATTTAAACTGGCGTTTACATCTATTTGAAATATGCACATCTTATGTTCTTGATGTATTTTATTGTAGTAATAATGCCGATTACTTTTGACTTTATCTAAATTGAGTCTTACATCTGTTTGAAATGATATCATTAAATAAATGTTTAACAATCCATTATCAGCTGTCGCGTTTTTCATGCAAAGCATAGATGAGAGCAGGGTTGGGAAAGTTACTTTTTAAAAGTAACTCGTTACCGTTCTTTTTTCTAAAAAATAACTCGTTACCGTTACTCGTTACCAATTTTCAAAAGTAACTCGTTACTGTTACCGTTACTTAAAAATAACGCGTCGTTATAATTTTCGTTATTTTTTTAAATATAAGTTTATTAAATATTACAGGGTTTATTTTAAAATAAATGAAAACATTACTAAATTTTATCGAAATTCTTTATTAATTTTTAAAAGAATTTGCTGTTGTGTCATCATTTAGCTGCCTTCTTTGTGGCGTTAATACAGATCCACCGAACATTTTCACTGAAATTTTTTTTTCACATGTGTCCAATGACGCGTTTACGTACATGTGATTCTGCATTCCACACTCTTCTTTGAATGAAAATTACACCGAGTAAATTTGCAAAAAGTAGCAATAAAAGTAACTGTTAAATTCGTTACTCGTTACCGAAAAATGTAACGAAGAGTTACTTTTTTCGTTACAACGTAACGCGTTCCCAACCCTGAATATTATTATAAACTTGTATATATGAATAATAAAATTTTATTAATCAGTTTCAATTATATGAATCATATCAATCAGTATCATATCAGTTTCAATTATATTAATCATGTCAATTATATGAATAAAGTAAATATCATAAGGTTTAAGCAACAATGAATATATTGTAGAAAATTATGTAGAATTCAAACACAAATGCTTTTAGATTGGATAATACATGTTAATCTATTTTTGTATGCTAAAAGATACTCACTAATATCATATGTTTTACTGATGTATATCTAATAAACTTCCTTAAATATTATTATCTAAATAAATGTATTTGATACAAACAAGCCGGTGGATGCTGGAACTGTCTTTGGATGGCAAAATTAGTACTGATAACGTTTTTTATAAATATTTTTTAAATATTTTTATATTTTTTAAACGCAGTAATATTTTATTAAATTATTGTTTATTTATTATTAATTATTGTTTTATAAAACAAACCGATGGATGCTGGGACTGTCATCTTTAGATCGCAGAATTCGCATCAGTGATATTTTTATAACACAAGCCGATGGATGTTGAGATTGTTACCCTTAAATCACAGAATTCGTACTGGTGATGTTTTTGTAAAACAAGCCGGTGGGTGCTGGGACTGTCATTCTTGAATGGCGGAGTCCGCACCGGCGATGTTTTCAAAAAACAAGCCTGTGTGGGTACTAGGACTGTTACTCTTAGAGGGCAGAGTCCGCATTAATGATGGTTTTGTAAAACAAACCGATGGGTGCTGGGACTGTCACCTTTGGATGGCAGAGTCCGCATCGGTGATGTTTTTGTAAACCAAACTGATGGGTGCTGGGACTGTCACTCTTGGAAGGCAGAGTCCGCATCGGTGATATTTTTGTAAACCAAACTGATGGGTGCTGGGACTGTCACTTTTGAATGGCAGAGTCCGCATCGGTGATGGTTTTGTAAAACAAACCAATGGGTGCTGAGACAGTCACTTTTGGATGGCAGAGTCCACACCGGCGATGTTTTCAAAAAACAAGCCTGTGAGTGCTAGGACTGTTACTCTTGAATGGCAGAGTCCGCATCAGTGGTGGTTTTGTAAACCAAACTGATGGGTGCTGGGACTGTCACTCTTGGAAGACAGAGATCGCATGAATAATGTTTTCAATTTCATGTTTTAAAATTCTATCTGGGCAAAATGTATACAATAGAAATTGAAAAGAAATTTGGAGAAAACATTAAAGAAAGTAAATAAAAAATACTTGGATTTGCAATTTATATGTTAATTTTATTAGATACGTTAAAATGCGCAAAATGCGTGAATATATCTGCTCGTGTGTGTTAACTGCTTCTGCGAATGTTTGATTTTGAACATTGAGACCAGCAAGATCTAATAAAATTAATAATAAAATATTACTGCGTTTAAAAAACATAAAAATATTTGACAAATATTTATAAATTATAATTGTAATAGTGATCCAATTATATTATTTGTTTAATAATGATTCACATTTATCATATCAATAGATAAGAATCTAGACATACTGCCAATGTCATATTCAGTAAAACATCAGATATATAAATGCACATATATATATATATAAATGCTAGTCGCTTTAATTTTTTCTTTCTATCTTCATTACAAATATTTTACATATCAATATAATCTTAGCTTATAATATCCGGATTATTTTGAAGCAGCTGCAATTTGTGTCAACTTTATTCATATAATAATTGATATTTCACTGTGATTATTTTCATGCATTTTAGTTTGTTTATGTCTATCTAGCGGCTCATTTCCTTCTATTTCCTTATTTTGATTTGCTTCTGTTGATTCACTTCTGTTACTCCTTATTTTTAGGATGATAAAAGACATTTTTACAGAAAGTGATAACTTCCTCACTTGTAATCTGATTGTACAATCTGATAATAATATAAAGAAGATAAGTTTTTATAGAAGATAAGTTTTTTATAGAAATTTTTCATAAATATAAAAAATGAAAGAAAATTAAAATTTATTTTAAATACAAGAATAAAAATATTAACAATATGATTATTGCTAATATTGAACATATTAAAATACTACATGTCCATTTTTTATAAAAAATATTTAAGTATTTTGCAAAATAGTACACAATAAAAAATTTTGTGTTAAATTTAACATATTTCACATGTCCCAATTTATCCACTCTAATTTTAATGTTAATTTAACAAAAGGCAAGTATGTAAATAAATAACACAAGTAATATGTTTAAAAATTTACACAAAAGTGTAACACTTAAACTTTATCTGGAAATAAAGTTTATGTTAAATTAACATATTTATAATGTTAAATTTAATTAAAAGAAAATGTTATTCTTACATTTTTATGATAAATAACAGAATAAGATATGTCGATTTAACATATGGAAATTATTATAGAAAGAAAAATAACACAATTTATCTGTTCATTTTAACATATAACATATTTCATCAAAAATTCGTGCATTTACACGATATTAATTGTGTTGTTTTAACTCTTAGAAATGTTGAATATTAACTCAACGCAGAAATGTCAAAATAACGCAATGATAATATATTACATTAACATAAGAATATGTTAAAAATTTAACACAAAAATTTTTACACGAGAAAATTTTAACAGAAATACAAAATGTTTTTTACCGTGTATAAATATAAAAATTTATACTTTATACATAACACAGTTAAAATTTAATTAAATGCAGTCTATGCGGTCTTTCCTATGATTAAAGTGATTTATTATTTCGCGATGATTACCTTACGCGTATCGTGAAGATATAATTACATTGCCAATAATAATGTCATCGTGCATAAATATCTGGGTAAACAAAAGCATGCTTTTCCTAAAAAAATCCCACGTTAAAATTATTTATACTTTAAACTTTAATCTTCGCGAGCACGAAGAAAAACTGTTTAATTATTTCTATTCTTTAATAGAATAATGACAAATCGAATATCAAAAAGTTGTTATTCTTCTCGCGCATCAATCTTTCACAGGAAATTTTGTCCTATATTTAGTCGGTTTTTTTTATTACGTCCTCACACCACGAGTGCGTTTGTACTGGTGTGAGAACGTGAAGACCTCGCACCTACCGGAGTTCCCAATGCAGCCTGATCTGTACTCTCGGTTTTGTTCGATGGTTAAATTCTAAATATAAAGCCGTTACGCGCGTGTGCATTCGCCCACCGACATGTATATACTACGCGCTCGTATCTCGTTGTGTTTGAACCACCCGATGTAATTGCTTGCTCGGTTTGCCTTTTCTGACACCGGAAATTATTCTGTCGATTCGAGCCAATTTTTTCGCTTACCTGTTCACATATACACACATATAAATATCTCGAAACGGAAAGGGATATCGATATTACTATATATGTATACGTATATAGGAGCAAAGCAAATTGTCAGATATTATGTGACATATTAGAATGTAATCTATATCTTGTATTATAATAGATTAGTAATTTCTCCTTCTCTATGCCTTTATTGTTTGATGATTCGTTTATTTTTGAGAAATGCAAGATATAGTCAAATTTATATTTATTTCACATTTTTGTGTTGATGTAAATTTCAATTTCTCATACCAGACGATTTAACACGTTATAAAATCATGATATATTATATAATAATGTTGTAATTAGAAAAAAGGGCTAGTGTGTACATAAGAAGCGTAAACATAAACGTTGGAAGTGGTAACAAACTTTCCAAATAAAGACAATAAGAGAGGAAGCCCATCCGTTCGAAGGGGCTTTCACAAAACTCCATTCAGCGACCAAGTAAATGACATAAAAAGCCGCGATCCAGAATTTTATTTTTTAATTTAAAATACTTCCACATCGGTATTATATATTATATAATTGCATCCTTTTTATATAATTCTCTTTCGACATTTTGTATGACGTGTTCTTTTTTTGCTAAATAGATAATAAAAAGGAAAAAAATGTTGAGCGGAATTGCGTACAATATGAATCATAAATAAAAATGAGTAAGAATAAAACATTGGTCAGATATGTTACCGTTATTGCGCATCATGCTTTTAATTGACGCACTCATCACAGGCGCAATTGCGAGGAAAATAATAATTGTACGAGCAGTCAGGAACGGTTTCTAGATTGGAGGAAGCCACGGTATTCTCACGCGAATACAAGCGTACGGTCATAATTGATCGTTTTTCGTGGAAAAGCAAGCTGACGTTTCCCAACCGCGCGAACTGCACGATAATGAGAGAAAAATTACAAAATGGAGAAACTCTGTGAGAGACCCTAGAACGATGTAAGTGACGGTCGCGGAAGAACCGAACGGAGATAAAGCGATGATTGTGCGTAGCGCGTACGTAGACCGCATGAATACTTACAATTGCGTAAGTAGAACAATCCTTTCGGAGCCATTGTTCCTATATCTCTTTGCAAAAGATTTACCATAATATATAATTTACCATAACATATAATTATATTATTCGATCAACGCAGGCGAGAGAAATAAATTATGATTGTTCCAAATTAAGATAGATATTGCATTTAAAAAAATAAAACAGATATTATTTAAAATAATAATTTAGATTTCTCATTTAAGCCATATTATATAGATCTTTCTAAATATAAAATAACTTTTATTTAAAATATATTTTTATAACTCTCTATTATTTAAAGAAATAATTGAATATATTTAATAATCAAGCAAAACACATATATAAATATAAATATATATATATATATATATATATATATATATATTCCTCTACATTATTCTTATAATTCTTATATGTTTCTTAATGCACAAAACCGAAAATAATTTTATTAATTGATTTAATGAATTTATAATCATGCGTATGCATTTAATATTAGAGATTGAGATCTCCAATCGAGAAACGCATAAAGTGCGCGTGTATGTTACGCGGAAATGATCTATTGTATCTATTTCTTCATGCTAATAGCGAACAGAAAATTTTAGAATATATTAAACAATAAAAAAAGACGATAAAAATTGAGTGATTACTTAAAATGATTTATTTTCAAGGCACCGTTTTTCCTATGTGCATTATATAAACAGAGAATGATCATGTTGTGAACGATGAAAAGAATCAAGAAAGTGGGAAAAAGGATCTTATCGTTCTTCGCATAGGTTTCCATTCTCAGCACTGTTCGATTGTCTCCTATCTGAAAGTGTAACCGTATCAAGTTGTAAACAATTCTTTACAATCATTTTCAAAAGTGAGAAACTCTGTGAGAATGTTTGATCAGCTTATAATTACCGACTAGACCTACTAATTCTAATATAAAATATTTATTTAATAATATACATAAGCGTCTCGCATTACTAACATTTGTGTATATAGCATGGAATATAATCAAAAATTGTACACATTATATGTTACCTACTAAAAACATTTGTGAATATTAACAGAGAAAAGCTAAGAAGGATCGATCAGAAATAAGTTAGCATACTTTTCAATGAGTATAACATGCTATGTCTACAAATTGTGGTTCTGTTATGTACACAAAGAGTCGGTAATACGAGTGCAAAATAAACTTATATATTAAATATATCATTAAATATATATATATATATATATATATATATATATATATATATATATAGGGAAGACCGGGGACAAAAGTAACAGCGTCATGAAAGTAACAAGTCTCTTACTAAACACAATATGTTGAATAATTTGTACTATATAAATTACATCACTAACTTTTTTCACTATAATGAAAAGATAAGATAAAATGTGATAGATATGCAATTAATAATAGAAAAGATATAACAACAAAAAATATATATATTAATGAAATGATCTAAATATAAAAGGATCGTTTTATTTATATAAGGATCTAAGTGTTTTATTGATGAAAGCAAATTCTGAAAAAGATGAATCAATTATATCAAATGAAGAGTCTCTATATTTAAAAATTATAATTTTCCTTTAAAAGAATTAGAAGAATTAGAAGCTATAGAAGAATTTCTAAGCTTCTAATCGAAGACAATAATTTCAAAAAATTTAAGTAAATTTATTTACTGATGCATTTTTATTGTACTTAGAATTTATATAAATTTAGAAATTTATAAATTTGTATTTTAAGTAACGGAAATTATTAAAATTGAAGGAACATCCTACAAACAGATGGTGAAACGCGTGTTAACAAGAATAATATCTAATGATTTGTCTAAGACTTATAGTTGGATAAGTTTTAAAGGAAAACGTAACTTTTCTAATCTTCGAATTTGCTCAGCAATATTATCTGCTGTACAAAAAACGCATGGCTGCTCCGAAGCGATGATAGAGGCTGTAATAAAATATTGGCTTGCAAAATCTATCGAACGACAAAAACAGTCAACAAAAGAAAAAAATTCGTAAGATTTACAAGTACAAAAAAATTTTATTTTGAATGCATATTCCCAAGTAAAAGATAATTTTATTTTAAGTGCAACTTAAGTGCAATTTTATTTTGAAGTTTTATTTTGAATGCATATTCGCAAGTAAAAGATAATTTTATTTTAAGTGCAACTTAAGTGCAATGTTAAGTACCAAAGTAAAAAATGACTTACTTGACATTTTTTAAAATAATTATTGCTTATTTCTAAACCACTTCAAGTTTTTAGAAATAAACAATAATCATTTTTTTCTAGTTTTCTCTTTTGTTGAAATGTATAATTATTTTTATAAATTGTTTTTTTTTTAAGTCAAGTTTAAGATTCATATGTATACTTAAATATTAGACACTTAGACATTATCTTCGGTAATTCTGTTTTGTTAAAAAATTTTGATTTTATGAATTCTAGTATTAAATTCAACAGTATTATTTCCATTATAAATATAATATATTTTATATTTATATGATATTTATATAAATATTATGAAATATTAATAAATACGTGTATATGTATTTTCATAAAAATATGTGTAAAAACTTTTAAAAATTATTTTTTAAAATAAAAAAATGAACTTAAAATTACTTTATGTATTTATTAATTACGTAATGTAAACTTCTGTAACATATATAATCAAATAATCAGTTCTAAAAAACATGAAATTGTTTATATATATATATTAATTTTTTTAAATAATTTTTTCTTTTTGTTATAAAAATTCAAAATTAAGCAATAACGGTAAAAAATAACGGTAAATTTAGACACTCTATATTTAAATAATGTGATGATTATGATGATTATGATGATTTAATCTGATATATCTGTGTAATTTTAGCATCAGCAATTTTTAAATTTTTATATAGAATATAAAAATATATAAGAATATATATATATATATATATATATATATATATAGAATATAAAAAAAAATATATATATATATAGAATATAAAAATATATAAGAATATATATATATATATATATATATATATATATTCTTTGCGTTACATTTAAATAATATTTATTTTGAGAATGTCATGTTTTTATTACAATAAGACATGTTTTAAAATAAAGTGATATTAAAATAAACATAGCATAAAAAATTAAAAAGAATATTGCTTTTCAACTCTTATTTTAAGGAAGTCATGTTTTCGTTACGAAAACATGCCCTTAAAATAATTGATGAAAAGATGTTTTGTGTGTGTGTGTGCGCGCGCGCGCGTGTGCGTGTCTGCATGCGTGCGTGCGCCTGTGGGTGCGTGTACTTGAAAGGGAGGTTTTAGTGGGTGCGAGTCCCACATAATTCTGCCGGACCGGTCGGTAGGGTATGCATAAGGCATTTTCCCCCCTTCGAAAGAAAAAAAAAGGTTGTACATAGTACATAAATTATATGTAAATATATATATATATATATATATATGTATATGTATATGTATATATAACTTTATAATGGAAATCAAATAACTTTATTTCATATTTTGTTAGTTTAAAAGTAATTATTGGATTAATAAGATATTTGCGATTAAGATACGATTAAGATACGATTAAGCACGACATAAATCGGATAATTTTTAGAATTAGATGAACCATACATATTAATTAAAAATAATTCGATTTATGTCATTTTAATCGATTTATGTCATTTAATCATCTCAAAATCTCATTAATCCATTAAAATCACTTTTAAATCGATAAAATGCGAAGTAAAAGTTTTAGTTTTGATTTTATTCGATGTTTATATTTTATAGATAAGCGAGCTCTTTAAAAACCTTCGATGCTGGAGACTCGACGATAGCGAGAGAGAGAGAGAACCAGTAAGAAGCAAACGAGATGGCCAACATCAAAGAGAGTTCTGAAGTCTTGTTGCGAATCTTCTTTTATTTCCATTCTTTCGCGTATCCTATTTCATCTTACCACAGAAAATAAAATTTTTACATTTCGCATTTTATCGATTTAAAAATAATTTTAATGGATTAATGAGATTTTTACGATTAAAATGACACCAAACATGACATAAATCGGAATATTTTTAATTAATATGTATGGTTAATCTAGTTAAAAATAATCCGATTTATGTCGTGCTTAATGTTATTTTAATCGCAAATATCTTATTAATCCAATAAAATTATTTTTAAATCAATAAAATATGATATATATATATATATATATATATATATATATATATTCAATTTAAAACATTACATGAAATACACGCGCTGGAATTACATAATATATATATTCTATGTGTACATAAATACAAATATATTATCTCTTTTCGAAAGATATGTTAACATTGAAAAATTTAAATATAATATATATTTAATATTCATATCTATTTATGTCGTATCACAAAGTAAGAAGTTAAACTTTGACTTCAATCCCGAAAAATACTGTGATCTTCCAATGTAATGTTCAAAGATAAAATAAATATTTTTCTATACATTCAATGTCATATTTATATATTTTTATTTACAAAAAAACAATATGTCTGTTGTGGAATAAAAACCTTTTTAACCGTATTTCTATAAATCTTTTTAGCAGTAAAATGATTTTTGATATTTATCAATCATTTTTTTTAATTATTTAAAAATTTAATTATTAATACATGTATAGAATTTGTTAAAGTAATCACTGATTCTTCTGAAGCTTTTATAATTAAGATTCTAAAAATATAGATGTTGCAAAATATTTTAAATATCTCTTCCTTTATAAAATATAAAGGATTCATATGTTCTATTCTAATATAGTCAACATTATTTATATATTTTTATTATAATTTTCTTACCAGCATAATATTTTTATGCTTAATATTTTATATAATATAATGTACTAAATTATAAAATTTAATATAATTACAAAATAGTATTATTATTAATAAATAGATTGCACACTGTCTTTTAATTTTTAATTATTATGCATTTCCAATCATTATGCATTTCTATCCAATATATTCTCTTCTTCGAGTTCTTGGATTATTATGATTTATTATGATGATGATATTTATGATATTACAAATTATTTAATTAATTAATCGTTTGGCTTTATTTTAAGTTAAAGTAAAATTTAAAAATAATATCTACAAACAAATTCTACGATGGATGAGCTATGATATAAGAAATTAGAATAAAATAAGTGCGTGTTATAAGAATAAAATAGTATCAAAAATTGATAAAATTGTTAAAATTATTAATGCGTGCTCTTGATTTAATAAACTAGTCAAGTCTTTACAAAAAAAATTTTCTTTTCTTGATTCTCTTTTTTAAATTAATACTTCAATATATTTTCGCAATAGATGCAAAGCATTTCGAAAGAATTTATTAAAAGTTATTTAATTTAATCTATCCTAGCTCATCCATTTTAAGGCAACGGACTTACTCTTCACAATCTACAATCTACAATCTACAATCTACAATCTACATCTACAATCTCTACGAATCCGTTACCTTAAAGTTAAATAAAAGTTTTTCTCACTTACCGACACTGATGCGCAACAGCGGAGTTATAATTATCGAAGCTACGTTGTCTGTAACATACATATAAAATTCATTTATATTAATGCTCACAAAATGCAATCAATATTTCAAAAAATTTTTATCGTGCGGAATTTTATATCCGATGTGTAAAATAATAAACAGAGATAAACACGTGTGGAAAAATTTTATAAAATTTTAAAACTGTTTTTTAAGAAAGTTTTTTAAAAAGTTTTATATAATTTTTATAAAAATCTTTCTCTCTAATTTTCTCTTTAATTCAATAATAATTTAATTTTTAATTCAATAATTTAATTTTCTCTTTAAATAATAAGATCGAATTATTATGCGTACGATTTATAACAATTGATATAATAAATATTCACCATCAGGTTGCTCCGCCGATGCAAGATGCCTCTCCCAGGCCTCCTCCTCCTCTCATGTTGTTGACGCGCGATACTTTCAACGGCACTCCCGCACTCACGAGCGATATTTTTATATCGCTATTTTCGTTATTTTACGCGCGATACTAAACGGCACTCCCGCACTACTTCGATATTCGGATTAAAAATTTGGTCGCGCGATGTATATATTTAATATATATATACTTTCAACGACACTCCCGGTTTCGGTACGAGCGAAAATCTCATTTCATTTACGAGACTTAACTTTGAGCCAACAGGTCGGGAGTGCAACGATACAACGAGCAAAGATTAGGCCCGAACCGGAAAGAAGACGAAAGGATTGACAGAATAGAGGAAAATAAAGTTCACCAGCTTTTTTTCGCGCATAATTATCCTATCTCGTATCGAACCTGGACCCGCTAAGCATGATTTCAGGTGCTTCGCCCGGAACACGAAGTTTGGATATGGCTACACCAGGCTGGTAGACGGCAAAAGAAGAGGATACCCACATTTTTTAAATGCTAACATTCAGCAATTTAAAAAATGGGGAGGCAACCCCTTTTACCGAGCGAAAATGCTTAGGGGAATCCACTCGACTCCTCGACAGGGTTAACACACGCAGTGCGTGTGGCTGTAGGGTAGACGAGCAAAGAGAAGGGACCCATTGACGACCATTCCGAGCAATCGATCGAGTTCTAACTAATTCGGGCCGAATCATTTGACGAAGTACGAAGCACGAAACGCGAGTGTACGTTGCATAACAACGTGTGCAAACTCGAAACATCCCAGTTAGTTGGCATCGGAAGTAGAGACTCGTGACAATAAATGAAATTGGGATTTTATATGAAAAAGTCCAAAATTTCCGCGAAAATGCGACGACGCGAGAATACTACAACGCGAAAACGCGGTAACGAAACGCTTGCCGTCCGCGGCACGTTGACGGCACCGACGACGCGAAAGGGTACTTAGCTTCCCTTTCAAGCACCTTAAGATTTATCATAAATAGAAAAATTTAAGATAAATCTCAAGACACCATCCAAGTACTAAGCCCTCCCACCGCGACAAGGTGTACCCCATGGGAGGGTTATATTATATATAATTTTATATATAATATAATATATACAATTGCAGCATTTATTTTGCAATATAGTATATAAATTTAAATTTGCATAACAAGACCGTAAAACAAAATCATTAGCACGGTATCGTTTATGTCGGATATTATGTTATTCATTGTTGAAATTCATTGTTGAAATTCATTATTAAAATATAATATAATTTGAAATGTAATACAACATAATTTAACAATTTTTTTTTTTTTTTTTTACGTGGGGAAAATGCTCCTTATGCACACCCCGACGGGACCGCTAAATAGGACCTATTTAGCGGTCCCGTCGGGGTAGTGTTGGGCTCTCCCCGCCGCCATTTTAACGGCAGGGACTACCAACTAAAAACCCCACGCGCCTTTCCTTAGTCTTCCAACGCGCAAGTCCCCGGAACCATGTGCATAAGGAGCATTATATGGAGTAGCCCTAACAAACTACTATCCTATTTCTTAAAAGGAATATTTAAAAATTTTAATGATTTATTTCATTTTACTTCTTTAATTTATACAGTTTAATAATAAAACATTATATTTTTATTATAAAAATAATATATAATACATACAATTAAATTTCTATTCATATAAATACAATATATATTCATAATATTCACTATATTCAATATTATATACATTCAATATATATTCACAAATATCTAAAAAAAATAATTTTCTTAATATGTTCGATATTAAACTTTAATAATATAAGCTGTTTAGATAAATTTATATCAATAAAATTAATGAAATACAATTAATGAAATTATATATATCTCAAAATATATATAAATATATAAATTTTATAAAAATTATTATTTAAATTAAAACTTTAAATACATAAATACACAAACATCTATATATAAGAAAATAAACATATAAATTTTATATAAAAATTATTATAATTTAAACTAAAACCTTAAATGTATATATAAGTATATAAATATATAAATTTTGTAAAAATTACTATTTAAATTAAAATCATAAATATATAAATAAATGAATATATAAATTTTCGAAAAGTTATTATTTAAAAATATTATTTAAATTAAAATTTTTTTTGAAATTTTAATAATAAATCTTTTTCTATAAATTCTATTCGTTCTTTAATATCTACTCATTCTTAATTCTATTTTAAATCTTTCAATTTCTATATTTAAAAATAACTTATAAATTCATAAATATACGAAATTTGTTATTCATATTACTAAAAAATAGCTTAATATATAAATTTGTATTTTAAATTTTTCATATAAAATTTCGTATTACATAAAAGTACATAAATTTCGTATTACATAAGTACATAAAATTTCGCAAAAAAATTCGTATTACTATACAAATTATTGAGTGTTAACAATTTAATTTTCATCCTTATATAAATAAAATACCTATAAAAAAACACTCAAAAAATATTGATCCCTTAAAAATTCTTAATATTAATAATATACGTGGGTCGTTTGATAAGTTTGGTAAATTTCCGTGAAATTCAACGAGTATTTTGCAAGTTTTGAGACAGTCTATTTTTTCGACGGTTAAAAAATTGGAATCTCGTTCGACCAAGTGTATAGACCTCAATGGAGACTATGTTGAGAAATAACGTAGATTTTTTCCAAAACAATGTGTTTTACTTGCTTTTTTACCAAATTTATCAAACGACCCTCGTAATTATTGAAATATTTATTAATTTGTTTTCCCTAATATTATTTAAACCTACATTTCCTGATTCCTTAAAAGATACATAATATAAAGTCAGCTAAATTAATCACATAATATCCCTAACAATCCTCTACTTTTTGAATGGAAAATTAAAAAATCTTAATGATCACCTAATAGCCCTAACAATCCTATTTCTCGATTAAGTGAAATTATTCGAGGAAAGCCTATCTCTAATCACGTATATTTTAATTACGTGCCCTAATTACATTCTCTAACCGCATGCCCTAACCGCGTGAATAAATGTCCGACATTACGTACTATTATACGTAAAGCTTTTCTTCAGGCCAATTGAACTTACT